TGCGCTGGTGCCCCGAGTCCGCCTGCGTGCTCGCCGGCGGCGCGAACGGCGACGTGCTCATCTTCGACGCCGTCGCGGAGCGCGGCGCGTGCCGGCTCCGGGGATCCCCCGGGCGTCACGGACCTGTGCTGCCTCGGGGACTGGGCCAAGGACTCCGGGCGCCTCGTCGTGACGACGGCGCGCGACGGCCTCGTCAAGGTCTTCGACGTCGCGCTCCGCCACTGCCGCCAGACCTTGGCGGGCGCGGGCGGCGGCGTCGCCGTCGGCGTCGACTTCAGCGCCGTCGCGAACCGCGTCGCGACGGGCGCCGGCGACCGCGCGATCCGCCTCTGGGCCGTGGCCGACGCCGACGAGGCGCTGGCGCCGCGCGGCGAGGTGCCGCGGCGCGCGATGGACCCGTGCCAGGAGCTCCGGTTCTCGCCGAGCGGCCGCGAGCTCGTCTGCCTGAGCCACGGCCGCACGCTCGAGGTCTACGGGATGCGGTCCGGCGACGACGCGGCGAAGCGCGCGGCGAAGCGCCTGAAGCGCGGCCGCGGCGCGGACGGCGTCGCCGCGGCCGACGAGCTCGAGCTCTTGGCGCTCGTGACGTCGGAGCACCGCCTGCGGAGCGTCGCCGTCCTCGGCGCGACGGCGTCGACGCTGAGGCTCGTCGCGGCGACGCGCAGCGGCGTGCTCGAGCGCCACGACGTACGCGTGGCGGAGAAGCGGAGGAGCGGCGCGCCGGACGCGGCGGAGACGCTCGCGCGGACGCTGGAGCTCCCGGGCCACCGGTCCGCGGTCCGCGGCGTCGCGCTGAGCCCCGACGGCGACGCCGTCGCGACGGCGTCGCAGCACGCGGTCAAGGTCTGGTCCGCGGCGCCGGACACGGCGCCCGTGCTCTTCCGCACGCTCGCGACGAAGCGACTCGCGCTCTGCGTCGCGTTCCTCCCCGGCGGCGGCCCGCTGCTGGCGGGCTTCAAGGACGGGAGCGTCGTGGCCTACGACGTCGCGAGCGGCGACGGCGACGAGCTCTTCGACGACGCGGGCGACAAGGCCCACGCGGGGAGCGTCTTCGCCATCGACGCGTCCACGTCCGCCGTCGCCGGCGCGTTGAGCGTCGTCACGGCCGGCGCGGACACGGACGCGAAGCTCTGGACCTACGCCGACGGCGCCTTCGCCCACGCCAAGACGCTCGACGTCGGCGAGGAGTGCCTCGCGGCCCGGTTCGTGCGCGACGCGCGGGGCAAGCGCGACGGCTTCGTCTGCCTGGCGACGTTGGACAACTGCGTCCGCGTCGTCTTCGCGGACACGTTCAAGTTCAAGGTGTCGCTCTACGGCCACTCCCTCGCGTGCCTCTGCCTCGACGGGTCCTCGGACGGCAAGCTCCTCGCGACGGGCGGCGCGGACAAGACGATGAAGCTCTGGGGCCTGGAGTTCGGGGACCTCCGCCATTCCGCGCTCGCGCACGACGACGCGGTGACGGCCTTGGTCTTCCTCCGGGGCACGCACTACGCCATGACGGCCTCCAAGGACGGCAGCGTGAAGCAGTGGGACTGCGACCACCAGGACAATCCCCTCGTCCAGACCTTCAAGCGCGGCCACTGCGCCGAGGTCTGGGCCCTGTGCGCCGCGCTCGACGGGTCCGCGGTCTACTCGGCGGGCGCGGACCGGTCGCTGCGGTGCTGGACGCGCACGGACGAGCCCGTCTTCGCATCCGAGGAGCAGGAGGCGGCGTTGGACCTCAAGCTCGACGCGCTCGACGCCGGGGTCCCCGCCGCGGAGCCCTCGAAGCACGTCGCGCCCGCGCGGTCGTCGGCGACGGCGCAAAAGGGCGCGGAGCGCCTCGCGGAGGCGTTGGAGTTGGCCCAGGGCGAGGCGGCCCTGGCCAAGGCGAGCGACACCCACCGGCCGTCGCCCATGATGCTCGGGCTCGCGCCGACGGCCTACGTGCTCGACCGGCTCGCGACGTTGAAGACCGCGGATCTCGAGCCGTGCCTCCTCGTGCTCCCCGTGGATTTGGTCGCGGTGCTGCTGACCTTCCTCGCCGACGCCCTCGACGGCGACGGCGCCCTCGACGTCGAGCTCTGCGCCCGCGCGGCCGTCTTCGCGCTCCAGCTCCACGCGGCCGCCGTCGCCGCGCACGAGCCGCTCCGCCGGCCGCTCGTGACGCTCAAGGCCGCGCTCCGCCGCCGCCTCGCGGCCGAGACCCAGCTCTACGGCCGCAACCTCGCCGGCGTGCGCATCGCGGGCCTCCGCGCCGAGGACGCCGCGCCCGCGCGCCTCGAGTCCTAACAAGCGTAGCTGCGACGTCGCTCGTGTCCTACGCGCTATTAGACGGGCTCCTCCTCGGGCAGGAACATGGCGACCTTTTCCATCTCCGTGAGGGCCTCGCTCGCGAGCTGGGGCGGCGGCCGCGTCGGCCGCGCCGGCGACGCGTAGGAGCCGCGGGGCCCCGCCTTCTTCGGGGACGTGGAGAAGTCGGGCGCGCCCTCGCGGAGGCTCGCGAAGAAGTTCGCGTCGACGCCGGTGCACTTGACGTTGGCCACGGAGTCGGGCCGCAGGATCCAGGACCCGCGCGCGCGCTCGCCGGCGTACTCCTCGTGCTTCATGGGGCTCGCGTTCGTCATGTCGAGCTTGGACCTACCAAGTGCGACGGGGTCGGATTTCTTCACATCTTCAGGCGAAATTCACGCGAAAAAACACTCCTGTCGCTCGACGCTGGCTTGGACGTGTGGTGCGCGAAGGCGACGGGCTCGTCGTTCCGGTCCGCGCGGTCCCTAATGCGGCGCCGGCTCTGCACGGTCTCGCTGGCCCAGCGGCCCGCGGCGCCCGGAGTGCGGCTCCCGCTGTCGGAGCGCGTCGCCGCGTCCTCGAAGTCGAGCGCGGCGCGCGGCGACGCGGCGGCGGCGTCCCCGGCGGCGTCCGCGGCGGCGTCCCCGGCGGCGTCCCCGGCGGCCGGCGGCGGCGGCGGCCGCGCCGCGCCGTCGCGCGACGACGCCGCGATGGTCTCCGCGAGGCGCCGGGCGACGGCGTCCTGGTGGACCTCGAGCTCGGCGATGCGCACGCGCGAGAGCCGCGCCTCGGCGCCTGTGTGGAAATCAACCAGTGGAACGCCCTGTCCAGCAAAACTTCAAACCTCTCTATCTCGATCAAATCGAAGTCGATTCGGCTGATTTTTGGACGAATCGATTGCTCTCGTCGAGTTCTCGAAGCACAGCCAAAGATCTTGCGTCGAAACGGTCGCATACGCGTACATTGAAGTCGGCTTGAATATTTGATTTCCACACAGCTCGGCGCGGCACTCGTCGCGCTCGAGCCGCAGCGCGTCGCGGTCCGACTCGAGCCGCGACACCGTCGCCGCGAGGTCCGCGATGGCCGCGCCGCTCTCGACCTTGACGCGCCGCAACAGGGCGCGCAGCGTCTCGTTCTCGCGCTGGAAGCGCTGCGCCGTCTCGATGAGCTCGCCGAGCTCGCCGGAGGCCGCGGCCTCCTCGACGCGGCCGCCGTGCAGGCGCCGCTGGCGCGCCGTCTCCCGGATGGCCAACCGCACGCCGTCGGCCTGGCCCGTGCACGAGTCCTTGTAGGACTTGGCGAAGCGCCGCGACCCCGTCGGCGGCGCGAAGCTCATAACGTTATGGACCACTCGTGGGCTGCCCGTGCCGGGTGCAATAATTCAGTAATAATCAGCTTTAGCCTGGATTGATTGCTCTCTCGGTCACGAAACGGCAGCATCGGAGCGTCTCGTCTTCCGGCGTCGCTGCGGCTGGTGCGCGCGGCACCGCACGGCGGCTCCGCCGCGCGGGCGCCATGGGCGGGCAGCAGGACAAGTTCGCCGTGGCGCCGGACTCGACGGCCGTGATCAGCGACCACACGCCCATCTTCGGCTGCTTCGAGGAGGGTGCCAACGGCCTCAGCGGCGAGGAGGCCTGCGCCCACCGGGACCGCATCGCGTCCTACTTCGTGCGGCGCGTCGTGCCCAGCGGCGGGTCCATCTTCAGCCACAAGGTCGGGCTGCGGGACCTCGTCATCGTCGAGAAGGGCGGGCTGCGCATGGTGAGCTACGCGGCGGGCTCATCGAACGCGCGCGACAGCGCCAAGAACGAGACGGTCATCAAGGTCGTCGGCGAGAACGAGATGCTGGGGCTCGTGGAGCTCGTGGAGAACGTGGAGCAGGAGGCCGACGAGGCCACGGGCAGGATGCCGACGGACGTGCTCGCGCAGGGCAAGACGTACCTCCTCGTGCTGAGCCAGGACAAGTACACGACGGAGATGATGGCGAAGCGCGACGCCGACGTCGCCTGCGGCCTCTTCTGCGACAATTTGGTGAACCTGACCAAGGACAAGGTCCTCGCGTGGCTCAACAAGGTGAGCGTGCTCCAGTCGCTCGGCGAGCCCGCGCTCCGGAAGCTCGCGGACGTGGCCCACTTCCGGTCCCTGCCCGGGGGCAAGGTCGTGCTCAAGCAGGGCGACCGCGCGGAGCGGCTCCACGTCATCCTCTCCGGGTCGCTGGACGTCGCGTGCAAGAGCGACATGCGGAAGACGATCGTCGGCCAGCGCGACTCGACGACGCACGACGGCAAGAAGCAGGTCGTCGTCGGGAACCTCCACGAGGGCGACTTCTTCGGCGAGAGCGCGCTGCTGAGCACGGAAGACTCGGAGCGCGGCGCCGTGCCGCTGACGTCGACGGCGTCGGTGCTCTCGACGACGCAGTGCCTCTTCATCTACTTCGACACGCAGGAGCTCCGCGCGCGCCTCGAGGAGATGCCCGAGGTCATGGAAAAGATCAACGCCTACATCAAGAACCGGCTCACGGGCCAGCTCCTGGCCATGAACCTGTCGCTCTTCGAGGCGATGCGCCCCGCGTCCGTCGCGCTCTTCACGGCGAACCTCGTCGTCCAGACCTTCAACGACGGCGAGACCGTCTTCGCCAAGGGGTCCAAGGGCACGGACTTTTACGTGCTGATCCAGGGGTCCGTGGAGATCGCCGTCGACGAGGACGAGAAGATCGTGCTCGACAAGAAGGGCTCCTACTTCGGGGAGCTGGCCCTGATCCGCGAGGAGCCCCGGGCCGCGGCGGTCAAGGCCATCGGCGCGACGATCCTCGCGCGCATCTCGGGCGCGAACTTCAAGAAGCTCTGCCTCGGGTCGCCGTCCGTCGCCGCGGAGTTCGAGATCAAGGCGCTGGGCTCCAAGGCGTCCGTCGGCGCCATGCTCGTGCACCCGCGCACGGCGCCGCTCCTCAAGGCGTCGCTCGACAAGGAGCTCGCGACGGAGAACTACGAGTGCTGGGACGCGATCGAGGCGTTCCGCTCCGCGGCCGAGACCGCGGCCGACGACGCGCTCGCGGCGCAGGCGCTGGGCATCTACAAAAAATGGATCGACACGACGACCGACGACCAGGTGAATCTGTCCGGCAAGGTGACGCGGGCCCTGAAGACCTACTTCGACGGCGCCAAGCCCGCGGACCGGCCGCCCGTCTCCGTCTTCGACGGCACGCAGAAGTGCATCTCCAACAACCTCAAGGGCAACCTCCAGCGCTTCTGCGTGACGGCCGACTACAAGAAGTTCCTCGGCGAGCTCAACGTCTACAAGAAGGGCAGGAAGTAAGGACTTGGAAGGTTGGTGCGGGGGAGGGAGGCGGGGGGGGGGGGGGGGGAGCGAATCTTCCTCGAGTCATTGCGCGCCGTCGTCCGCCCCGCCCTCATGACGACGCCCGCCGCGCCTGTGCTCAGCCACGACGGTTCGAACGTGACGGCCTCCTTCGACGACGCACCGCAGAAAGGAGATGCGATGCTCTACTTCGCCGCTGAGAACGGCGACGGCGAGGTCGAGAAGCAATTTTACGACGCGGAGAAGAGTGGGATTATCGCAGTCGGTCAGATCGGCAAGCTCATACAATTGACGGGTTTCGTCACGAGCGTCAACGTAACTAACCTCAAAGGTGACGTGGAATACACGGCCACCATCGCGTACCGCGGCGCGGGCGACGTCGAATTCGGTTCTACGTCGCCCGCGAGCGCGCCGCTCAAGATCTTATCGCCCGTCGCGCCCGAGGCGCCGCTGCTCGAAGCGATGTCGAGCAAGGCGATTCGAGTTTATTTTGTGGCTTCGCCTCTTTGTGAGCACGTCGACATGTTAGTTGATGTCAACGGTACGTGCGGGCACCGCGTCTCACCAGATCTCACGCTTGAGTCGCGGCAAAATCATGGGAAGACTATCACTGCGTTTCAGAGCAAATGCACCAGCTTCATCGTCACGGGCCTAGAAGAGACGGATACGTACAGATTCTCCCTACTTTGCCACAACGGCTGCTGGGGTCCGCGAGGCCCGTGGAGCAAGCCGCTGAAGCTCGCAAACCACGTTCCCAAGCCGCCGGGCGCGCCGTTCCTCGACAAGATCACGCAGGACAGCGTCCGCGTGTCATTCTCTATGATGGCGAGCGTGTCCTTCTCTGTGGGGGGAAACTGCTCGCGTGGCACCATCCTTTTCAAAAAAGGGTCTACGATTATGGCGGTTGACAACGCGACTAACACGCTCGTCAACCAACCTATTTGCAAAGCCATCCCGGCTTCCAAGGGCAAAGACGGCTTCGTCGTCTCTTCGCTCCTACCGAACACTGATTACGAGGTCTCTCTTCGAGCGGGTTACCAGGGCTTCAGTGGCTGGAGCAAGACTTCCCCGTCGAGAAAGTTCCGCACGCTGCCCGCCGAGGTCGAGATCACGGGCACGAAGACGCAAGAGGAGCGCGACGCCGAGCTCCGGAAGAATGCGGTCGATGTCGATACTGATGATGAACCACCGCCGCCGAATTCTGATTCCGAGGCCGACGAGTCGGAGCCGCCCACGGCCAAGCGCGCGAAGAAGGAGAAGAAGTAAAGGCCACGTTTGTTTAGAAGTGGCAATCAGGGGGAAATGGGAGTCTTCACGGCGCGCGGAAGTCCCCGCCGCGCGCGAGCGCGGACTGGAGGGCCTTCGTGTCGCGGGCGAGCTGGGCGAAGTCGTCGTCGGCGGGCGGCGGCGCCGGCGCCGCGGGCTCCGGCGACGACAGCGCGCGCGGCGCGTGCGCGCGCGCGTCCGCGGCCGAGTAGCCGTAGGCGCCGTAGGCGCCCGCGCGGCCGTGGACGTCGCGCGCCGCGTCTTCGCGCGCGGACGCGGCGGACCGCGGCGGCGCGGGCGAGTCGACGAGGGCGCCGGACGACGAGTCGGGGATGGCCGCGCGCTCGCGGTCGTGGGCCTTCTCCGCGAAGTTGAGGCTCGCGGTCATGGAGTGGAGCAGCGCCGCGAGCGCCGGGTCCTTCCCCGCGAGGGCCGCGTGGGCGCCCCGGTCCGGGTGGGGCGGCGTGTCGAGCGGGTCCACGGCGGTGCCGCCCGGCGGCGGCGTCGCGGCGCCGCGGCCGCCGAGCGCGCGCGGCGACAGCGACGCCGTCGGCCGCGCGGCCTCCGTCAAATTCGAGTCGTCGACGTCGGGCGCCGGCGGCGCGGCCCGGAGCCTGGCCTCCTCGTCGTCGCGGTGCTGCAGGTCCAAAGCCGACCGGTACGTCGCGCGGCGGCCCAAATGCTTCGGCGGCTCCGCGGTCGGCCGCGGCAGGTCCGCGAACAAGGGATCCTCGCCGCCGTCGGCGGCGGCGCGCGCGGCGCGGATCGCCGACCCCGGCGCGCCCGTCGACGCGCCGATGAGGAACTCGGACGCGAACAGATCCGCGACGCGCACGGGGCTGTCGGGCGCGGTCTTCAACACGGCCGCGCGCGCGTCGAGGTCGTCGCTCTTGAGCGTGAGCTCGGAGACGTGCACGGAGTGGGCGTCGTCGTCGTCGTCGTCGTCGTCGTCGGAGGGTAGCAGGTCCTCGAGGTCGCCGTCGTCGAAGGTCCGGAGCGTCGTCTCGTCGCCGACGGTGTCCGCGGCGACCGCGTCGCACGTGTCCGCCTCGTGTTCGAGGTCCCGGAGCTGCTGCGCGAGGATGCGCGCTTTCATCGTCGCCGAGACGGCGCCCTTTTTCGTCGACGCGCACCAGCCGCGCTCGAGGTCCGACGCCTCGGCGCCGATGCCGAAGACGGCGCGGACGTGGCGCTCCGCGGCCGTGAAGCCCTCCTCGCGCTCGCGCCGCTTCGCCGCCGCGACCTTGGACGCCTCCTGCTCCGGCGTCGCGGGCTTCCAGGCCACGTCGCCGAAGCCGCCGTCGCCGTCCTCGACCTCCTCGGTCTCGTTCTCGCGGCGGAGCGCGTCCGCGACGACGTCGACGGCGCGCGCCCAGCCGCGGTCCGGCACTCTGCGCAGGACCTCGTCGTAGGCGTCGAGCTTCTCGGCGCGGCCGTCGCCGTCGCCGGTCTTGGGGAAGGCCTGGGGCGACTCGGGCGGGCTCGAGAGCTCGTGGGGCACGAACTTTGCGTAGGACAGCGCCTCGGCGTCCGCGCCGATGGCCGCGTAGCGCACGATCGTCGCGGAGAGGGCGCTCGAACTCGCGGCGCAGAGCGCCGTCGGCACGCGCCAGGCGCGGCCGGGGAAGGGCACGAGGCGCGGCGACGCCACGCTGAAGGCCGTCCAGTCGCGGCGCGCGCCCGACGCCTCGAACGCGTCGTCGATGGCCTCTCGCTCCCTCGCCGCCTCCGCGGCGTCGAGCTTCTTCGCCTTGGCGGCGTCGACGGCGGCGCGCTTGCGCGCGTCGTAGGTCTCCGCGGCCTCCGCGCTTTTCGCCGCGGCCTCCGCGGCCGTCTTCTCGCGCGGCGCGAAGTGCTGGTGGTAGAAGGACCGCGCGCGGCTCGCGTCCGCGACCTCGCCGGGCGAGGACGCGACGCAGGTCGCGGCGCCCCAGGCGTAGAGCTCGTGGCGCGCCGTGAGGGCCGCGCTGTGGCGCCAGCCCGCGACGATCTGGGTCACGGGGCACTTCGCGAGCCGGCCGCGGACGACCGCGTACGCGCTCCGGTCCTCGCGGTCCCCGACGCCGAGCTGGCCGTCGCCGTTGTGGCCGCAGGCCAAGACGACGCCCGACGCCGCGAGCACGAGCGCGTGGCGGCTGCCGCACGCGACGTCCGCGGCGCGCCGCAGGAACTTCTTCGCGAGCTCCGTCGCCGACGCGTTCGCCTTGGGCGTCGCGACGGCCTTGCGCGTGAGCATCTCCGGCGCCCAGCGCCGCGCGCCGTCGCCGAGACCGAGCTGGCCCTTGTCGTTGTTGCCCCAGGCGAAGAGGTCGTGGCGCGTGCCGACGCGCGTGACGACGACGGAGAACTCGAGGCCGCAGGCCACCTTCCAGGCGAAGCGCTTGCGGTGCGCGTCGAGGCCCCGCACGAGCGTCGGCGACGGCACGTCGTGGGCCGCGCGCCAGGCCGGCGACCGGAGCTCCGCGTCGCGGCCCGGCGACCGGCCGCCGTCGATGCCCAGGCACTCGCGCGCGCCCCAGGAGAAGACGACGCCCGGGTTCGCGACGCAGACGGCGAAGTGGCCGCCGCAGGCGACGGCGGCGACGCGCCGGCGGCTCAGGCCCCCCGCCTCCACCGCGCGCGGCGACCCGCGGCGCGGCAGGAGGTCGCCCAAACCGCACTGGCCGCGCCGGTTGTCGCCCCAGGCGAAGAGGCGCCCCCCGGCGCTCAGCGCGACGCAGAAGTCGGCCCCGGCGCTCAGCGCCGTGAAGGCCACGCGCGTGAAGCCCTTGGGCGCCGGCACGGACGGCTGGCCCGCGGCGCCCGGCTTCGCGCGGGGCGTCTCGAAGCCTCGGCCCGCGTACTGGGGCCCCGCGGCGCCGAGCGCGCGGCTCCCGCCGTGGGCGCTCACCTCCAGGTCCACCGTCGCCGGCGCCACCACAAAGTCGCGGTGCGCCGGCGCGAGGACGTGCGCTTCGCCATCGTGCTTCGCGGCCGCCGCGGACCCCGGCGCGGGCCGGCCGAGCTGGCCGGCGTCGTCGAGCCCCCAGGTGTAGAGCTCGCCGCGGTCGCTCAGCGCCGCGCTGTGGCTCCGGCCCACGGCCACGTCCCCGAGGCGCCGGCCGCCCCGCCCGAGGTCGCGGCAGAGGCGCCCGAGCGTCCGCGCCCAGCCGTGCGGGTACGTGTCGTGCGCGTCCGACCTGGGCAGGACAAGAGAGAGATTCAACGTCGCTTCAACGTGGGTATTCCGCGCGCGCGCGTTCCAAAGAAAGACGTTCATGTCCGAGGCCGTTCCGAGAGATGATCGCTCGTCCAAAAATCAGCCGAAACGAGTGGAAAACGGCCGAGAAAGGAGGCTTTGAAGTTGGGAATTTCGCTCTCTTGTGCTGCCCTGCGTCCGACGCCCTGGCGTCGACGTCGACGAGCTCCGCCCGGCTCGCGAAGCGCTGCGCCGCGAGCTTGGCCGCGCGGTTCGGCAGGGGCCGGCGCAGCGCGAACTCGAGCGCGTGGTGGCCGAGGTGGCGGCCCGCGCCGCGCTGCTCGCCCTTGCGGATCGTCGACGACCGGCACGCGTCGACGGGCGCGTCCGGGTCGCCCTTGGTGTCGTCGACGGCGTACTCGTTGGCCGTCGGCGAGCTCAGGTTCGTGTTGCTGCACTTGCAGTGCGCGACCGCGTCCGCGTCCCCGAAATGCTCCGCGAGCGTCAAAAACTCGCGCTCGCGGACGCAGCGCAGCGCGAAGCGCTCCGCGACGACCATCGCCGCGACGCGCCGTCGACGCGCGTCGCCGCGGCCCGCGGCGCCGCGGCCCATGCCCGCGAGCACCGTCGCGGCGAGCCGCGCGTCGAGCATCCAGAACCGGAGGAAGCGGCTCCGCGCCCACCGCTGCGCGACGACGGCCGCGCGCCGCAGCTGGCGGAAGCGCCGCACGACGAGGATGCGCTTCCAATGGGCGCCGAATTTCGTCGAGGCCCTGCGGAGCGCGCGCGCGCGTAAAGCGCGGCGCCACGCTTTCGCCGCGGCGTACGCGGGCCCGCCGGGGCTCCGCGAGTGGGACCCGCGCCACGCGCAGGCCAGCGTCGTCGCCGCCCGGCGCCGCAGGACCTTCAACCGTAAAATCCGCAGCACCTCGCCCACGATGAACACGCGGAGCTTGTCCGCGTGGCGCTTCACGGCGCCCGCGCGCCGCCGGAGCACGAAGCCGCGCGCGAGCGCGGCCGCGCCCCTGGCCGCGAGCTTGAGCGTGGTACACCGCGCCTTGGCCCGCGTCGCGCGGCTCCAGCGCTGGAGCCGCACGGCCATGGCGCCCCGGCGGCGCGCGGCCGCGCGCCGGAGCTTCCGCCGCGCCAAGCCCGTGATCGCCGCGCCCGCGCGGCGGTGTTTTGTGATGTAGGCGCGCATGGGCGCGTACTTGACGAGGGCGACGACGAGCCCGAGGCCGTTGCGCACCTTGACGTAGACGCGGCGCTGCTCGCGCGCGCGCTGCATCGCGGCGAGCCGCGTCGCGCAATTCGCGAAGATCGCCGTCGCGTCGTCTAAACGCCGCTCGAGCGACGCCGCGAGCGGGCTCGACAGCATGACCAGCGTGCGCCCCAATTGGGCCTCGCCGCGCCGCGCCGCCTCCTTGGCCTCCGCCGCGAGGCCCGGGTCGCAGAGGAGCGCGTCGAGGAGCCGCTTCGCCCGCTCGCGGCGCTCGCCCGCGTCGTCGTCGGCGACGACGAGGGGGAACGCGCGGCTGTAGACGCCGAGCCCCCGCGCGGCGATGGCGTACTTGGCGTAGAAGCGGTCGTGGGGCATGCGCCAGCGGAGGCCGATCTTCGTCAGCGTCGCGAACTCGGGCACCGCGAAGCGGTCGAAGAGCTGCTTGCCGACGTAGCTCGGCTCGAAGAAGTCCCGGGCCAACTCCGGGTCCTTGTCGAAGAGGCGCTGGGGCGCCGCGCGCGTGCATAGCACGTGCGTCGCCAACGGGCGGCCCGTGCCCCGGCTCAGGCCGCCGAGCTGCGATAAACCGCCGTAGAGCGCGTCGAGCTGGCTCCGGAAGCTCGCGATCGCCGACGCGCGGCCCTGCTCCTTGGCGTGGACGAAGCGCACGGCGCCGCAGGCCGCGAGGTCGCCGAGGGTGAGCCAGGGGCAGGCCGCCTCGTCGACGTCGCACTCGGCGAACAGGGCCCGCACGAACGGCCGCGTCGACGTCTCGAGCGCGGCCACGGCCGCCGCCGGCGCGGCGACGCGCGCGCGCCGCAGGAGGTCGTGGACGTCGTAGGACACGTCGCCGCCCGTGTGCTTGACCGTGAAGGACGTCGCCGCGCGCTGGCGCCGGCCCGGCTCGAAGGACGGCGACGCGCCGTGCGCGGCGACGACGGCCGCGAGCGCGCGCGCGTCCGTCTCGCCGAGCGCGGCCGCGGACGCGTCCACCGTGCCCAACAAGCTCGCGGGGCCGCCCAGGAGCAGGTCCAGGACGTCGGCGTTGGTCTGGACCGCGGGGAACTTGGTCGTGGACACGTCGAGGCCCTCGTCGTCGTAGAGCTTGAGCTCGTCGGAAAAGGTCGTCTCCGCGTAGTAGGCGTGGTGCCGCTCCGCCGCGGCGTTGTGGAGCAGCTCGTCGAAGAAGTTGCGCCCCCCCGCGCCCTTGGCCGCGTCGTCGAAGCCGCACGCGTCGAGGACGTAGACGTCGGACGGGGCCCGCGCGGCCTCGCGGCACTCGCCCGACGCGCGCTTGACGACCCAGGTCACGAGGCGACCGTAGAGCGCCTTGATGAGGCCGTCGCGCGCTGTCTCGGCGTCGGAAGGCCTAGCGGGCACCCTCTTGCCGACGCCCGCGGACGACGCGCCGGACGCGACGTCCAAAACGCGGCAGAGGAACGCGTCGCGCAAAACGCCGCCGTCGACGCCCAGCAGCTCCGCGGCGTCGGCGGCGCGCGTCTTGCTCGCGGCCGTCTCGCGGTACTTGGCCTCGTCGCCGCCGCCGAACTCGACGTCGCCCAAAGCTAGGATCGCCGCTAAAAGGCCCGCGACGCCCTCGGCGAACGAGTCGCGCACGCCCGTCGGCCGTTTCGACTTGGCGTCGCCGTCGCGCGCGACGACGCCGTAGGCCGCGGAAAGAGCGGCCCAGTCCGCCGCGGCGTCGTCCGTCGCGTCCAAAAGCCGGTAGCCCGCCTTGTCCCTGGCGTCGCGGAGCCGGAGCGCCGCGCGCTCCGACGGCGACTCGACGCCGCCGGCGAGCCAGTGGAGCGCGTGGAAGTTGCCGTCGGCGGCGCCCTCGGCGTCGCCGGGCGACCGCGCGACGCGCGCGACCTCCAAGCCATAGATCTCGCAGGACCCGCCGGCCACCAAAGCCTCGCGGCGCGGGCCGGGCCGCACGGCGAGGCGGTACATCGTCGCGCCGCGGCTCGCGTTCGCGTTGCGGCCGCTCCGGGCGCAGGAAAAGGCCTCGACGAGCGTCGGCGTCGACAGCAGCTTCTTCGCCGCGCGCGCTTGAGATGATGAGAACCCTCTTGCCTCCGGGCCGGAGAAGAAGAGCGGGTTCGCCGCGCGGCCGAGCGGCGCGGCCCACGCCTGCGTCGCGTCGTCGCGCCGCGCGGCGACGAGCGCGTCCCCGCCGAGCCGCGACGTCGTCGGCCCCGCGGCCGCGACGCCGAGGAAGCTCGGGTCGCCGAAGGCGATCGCGGCGAACTCGAGTGCGAGCTTCGCGGACTCGGACTTGCCGCTGCCCGACTCGCCGACGAAGCTGAGCAGCTGCGGCGCGCGGAGCTCGAACGCGCGGCGGACCGCGTCCGCGACGGCGTCGTAGAGGTGGGGCTGCTCCGCCTCCGCGGCGTCGCCGGCCGGCGGCGGAAACCGGCCTTTGCGCCGGTCCGCGCCGGGCGTCCGGTACCGGGGCTTCGCGGCGCCGCCGGCGTCGTCCCGCGCGCCCGCGGCGCGCGGCCCGGACCGGCGCTGCATCTGCAGCAGGCCGAAGTTCGACTCGCTCCGCGGCGCCCCGGGCCCGTTCGGGTTCAGGAAGACGAGGGGCCCGTCGCGGCGGCCCGCGTAGGTCCAGTACTCGCCCGCGACGTGGCGGCCGTGCGCGGCCGAGACGACCGAAGGCGCGTTGCAGTGCGTCGCGCGCGCGAGCTCGCTCAGGTTCCTGCGCGACCCGCTGCGCAGGCGCGAGTTCGACGGGAGCACGTCGGCCTCCCTCTTCGCGATGGTCATCTTCGGCTCGTCCACCGTTTCCAAGGTCAGCTCGCCGCCGTTGCGCGCGACGACGCGGCACGGCACGTACTCGGGCCGGCCGCACGTGCCGCCGAGGCGCTTCTTGTAGAACTCGCCATCCGTGAGGGGGAAGGGGTTCTTGAGCCACACGAGGTTCGCCTCGGACGCGGCGTCCATCGAGCTTGACGGCGTCCGATGGCAGCCACAGAGAGCAGCCTCACAGTTCCTGTTACGGCGCGCTGCGGGGGTTGTGATACGTTGACATAAAGATCATCACGGTCGCACGGGCAGCCCCTCTGATTCAACAAAGCGCCGCTTGAAAGCCGAGCGTCGAGCACCACTGTTAGCTCGCGCGCGCGCTCGGCGCCTCGCCGCCGACGCGTGCGCGTCGCGCGCCGCTGCGCCGGAGGCAGCGCCATGGCGCCGAAGGAAGACACGGTGCGCGTGGCAGTGCGCATCCGGCCGCTCAACAAGATCGAGCTCAACGAGAAGAACGCGGCGATCTTCGAGGAGGCGAGCGGCAACACGGTGCGCGAGCTCGACGAGATCGAGGGCACGAAGCCGGACCGCTTCTACGACTTCGTCTACGGCGACGACAGCACGAACCGCCAGGTCTACGAGGACGTCGCCGCGCCCATCGTCAAGCTCGCGGTCGAGGGCTTCAACGGCACGGTCTTCGCGTACGGCCAGACGAGCAGCGGCAAGACCTGGTCCATGATCGGCAACGACGAGAACCCGGGCATCATGCCCCAGTCCATCCGCGGCCTCTTCGAGGACCTGGGCAACCGCGAGGGCATCAAGGAGTTCTTGGTGCGGGTCTCGTACATGGAAATCTACAACGAGGAGATCAAGGACCTGCTGGGCACGGCGCACCCGCCCGGGGGCCTGAAGATCGCCGAGGACCCCAACCGGGGCTGCTTCGTGCGCGACCTCACGGAGGAGGTCGCCACGGACGCCGCGTGCATCAAGTCGATCTTGGCGCGCGGCGAGAAGGCGCGGTCCTACGGCTTCACGGAGATGAACGCGAACTCGTCGCGGTCCCACGTCGTCTTCAAGATGATGATCGAGACGAAGATCGGCCACAGCCCCGTCTGCTCGTCCTGCATGTACCTCGTGGACCTCGCGGGCAGCGAGCGGCAGAAGAAGACGGCGGCGACGGGCCAGCGGCTCAAGGAGGGCAACGCGATCAACAAGAGCCTGCTCGCGCTGGGCGCGGTCATCTCGAAGCTGAGCGAGGGCAAGAAGGGCACGGGCCACATCCCCTACCGCGACTCGAAGCTCACGCGCATGCTCTCGTCCGCGCTCGGCGGCAACTCCAAGACGGCGATGATCGCGGCGATCTCGCCCGCGGAGCGGAACCGCGACGAGTCCCAGTCGACGCTGCGCTTCGCGTCGCGGGCGAAGCGCATCGTCAACTGCGCGAAGAAGAACGAGATCAAGGACAACGAGTCGATGATGGTCCGCATGACCGCGGAGCTCGAGGACCTGAAGACGAAGCTCAAGGAGATGAAGGAGCGCGACCTCGAGGCGAACGCGAACCTGGTCGAGGAGAAGAAGAAGCTCGACGAGGACAAGGCCAAGGTCGAGGAGGAGGGGGCGACCTTCGCGAAGATCGTCACGCTCTCCGCGGCGGCGGCCAAGGTCAAGGACGTCGAGACGTCGCGGAAATTGCAGAAAAACCTCACGGACTTCGCCAAGGGCCGGCGCCGCGCCCAGTCCGTCATGATCGAGAACACGAAGCTCGCGGCCGACGCGGGCGTCCTCGCAGCCGAGGAGGAGGCCGCCGAGGGCGGCGACGACGACGAGGGCCACCGCCGCGTCTCGGGCGTGTCCATCGTCGGCGACGACGAGGAGGCCGAGACCATGAGCGCCGCCCAGCTCGAGGCCGCCGACGTCGAGCTCAAGCGCACGGAGGCCGAGGCCGCCGCGTTCCGGGAGGAGAAGGACGCGCACGCGGCCGCGCTCAATGACCTCAAGCTCAAGAAGGACACGATCGTCGAGGAGACGAATTTGCTGCAGCACCAGCTCATGGCCGCCAAGGCGAGCCTCCTGCGCGCGGAGACGGAGCAGGACCGCGAGCACAAGCTCTGCAAGTCGTTCCAGCAGTCGTACGACGCGAACGTCGCGGAGATCAAGAAGTCCAAGCCCGCGATCGAGGCCTGGGCGAGGGAGGCCGCCGAGGCGCGGAAGCGCGTGGAGGCGCTAGACCGCGAGCTCTCGTCCCTGCGCGTCGAGGCGTCGTCGGCCCACGAGCGCCTGGAGCACTTGACGGACGAGGTCCGGACGCAGACCGCCGAGGTCCGCGGGTTCTCGAGCGCGATCCGCGCCTGCGAGGAGCGGGCGAACGCGGCCAAGAACAAGATCGACACGCTCAAGGCCGCGAAGCACCGCATCTCCGAGGAGCTCGCCGAGCTCAAGGACGCGGACGCGGAGCTCGCGGACGACTTGGAGCGGAAGCTGAAAAAACAAAAACTCCTCGAGATGCAGTGCGACACGGCGCGCGAGGAGAAGCGGGGCTTCACGGCGACCATCTCCGCCACGGAGCAGACCGTGAACAAGATGGCGCAGACGCGGCGGGAGATGGAGCACCGCACGGACGAGGCCGAGACGACCGTCGCGCGGTGCCGCGACGACGAGCAGAAACTCAAGGCGCGCGTCGGCGACCACGACCGCGACATGACCATGGCCATCCGCGGCTCCGAGGCCGCCGTCGCGCGGCTCCAGCAGGAGATCGAGGACCTCGAGACGCACGTGTCCCGCGAGTACCACGACGAGCACGAGTACGACGCGGTCGTCGAGGCCATCAACCACGGCGAGCGCATCGGCACGTCGGACGTCGCGGACCCCCACCTCAGCGCCAAGCTCCTGGACCTGGGCCACCTCGCGGACGGCGCGGAGCGCGCGGCCGCGGCGCACGACGCGCTCGCGGCGCGCGCGCGGGGCCTCGAGGCCGCCGCGGCCCAGCGCGAGCTCGACGCGACGGACCGCCGCGGCGCCGCGGACCGCGAGATCGACCGCCTCACGCACGCCGCGGAGCGCGCCGAGGCGACGTGCCGCGAGCTCCGGACGCAGCTCGCCGCGAACCAGCGGCGCTGCGACGACGAGATCCACGCGATCGGCCTCGACCTCGAGGCCGAGTACGACCGCGCGGCGGAGTGCTCGCGCACGGCCGCCGAGGCCGAGGCGCAGACGCGCGAGGCGACCAAGCGGGCCGCGGAGTGCGCCCGGCGCGCGGAGCAGGCGCGCGCGCGCGAGAGCGCGGCCATCGAGCGCTCGGAGCAGGCCACCTGGGACCTGGCGACGCTCGAGAAGCAGGTCGCCGCGTCGCACGCGTCCTTCGACCACGCGGCCAAGGAGTGGGCCGCGTCCAAGGCGCGCATCGAGGATTTGGGGCGCCGCGAGGTCGACATGCAGCAGCGGCTCAACGAAGCGCTCAAGGCCAAGAGCGACGCCCTCATCGCCGGCGGCCGCGCCGCCGAGGAGCACGCCAAGGTCTCCTCCGCCGTCGCCGCCATCAAGGCCGAGGTCGGCGTCTGGCACCGCCGCGCGGCCGAGGCGCAGGAGAAGACGCGGTCCGTCGAGGCCCAGCTCAAGGAGCTCCAGACCCACGCGCCCCCGGCCGTCGACGAGTCGGAGCGCGCCCGCCTCGGCGACATCGACGACGCCGACGTCGAGGAGACGCGCGCGAGGGCCGACGCCGCGGAGCGCGACCTCGCGGAAGTACGTGAAAACCACAAAAAGCGCGAGCGAGCGTCCGGGGACCTCGCCGGGCGCCTCGCGGCCCTCGACGCCGCGGGGCGCAAGGCCGACGAGGACTTGACGGCCAAGGCCGACGGCATCCGCCGCCTCGAGCGCGCGATCCGCGACGCGCACGGCCTCGCGGCCGCGCGCGCCGAGGCCTCGGCGAAAGCGCGGGAGAACCTCGACAAGCAGAAGCTCGCGCGCGCGGACCAGAAGCGCCGGCTCGACGAGGCCCACGCCGAGGCCGACGCCCTCGCCGCCGAGCTCAAGGCCTGCCGGCGGGCCACCGCGCGGCTCGTCGAGGAGACGCACGACGCGCGGCGCACTGTGCCGAATTCAACCACTGGTTTGGGTGGTCCTGACCAAACTTCAGAATTCTCTAGCCTGGTCAAATCGAAGTCGATTCGGCTGATTTTTAGACGAATCGATTGCTCTCGTCGAGTTCTCGAAGCACGGCCGAAGAGATTTTGTCGAAACGGTCGCATACGCGCACATTGAAGTCGGGTTGAAGATTTGAATTCGGCACAGGCGGCGCGAGGAGCGCGAGCTGGACGCGGAGCACCGGCGCAAGGAGGCGGAGCTCCTGGCGTCGCGGTCCAACGAGGACCTGCGCCAGGAGATGGAGACGCTGGGCGAGGCGCTCGCGGGCCTGCGGTCGCAGCCTGTGTGCACATCAACCACCGGTTTGGGACGTCCCGACGAAACTTCAGAATTCTCTCGCTCGGTCACATCGACGTCGATTCGGCTGAGTTTTGGACGAATCGATCGCTCTCGTCGAGTTCTCGAAGCACGGCCGAAGAGATTGCGTCGAAACTGTCGCGCACGCGCACATTGAAGTCGGGTTGAAGATTTGACGTCCACGCAGGTCGCAGCTCGCGCTCGCGGCGGGCGACGACTACGAGCTCGAGGGCGACGACGGCGAGCTCGACGAGTCCAAGGTGCTCGAGAAGGCGTTGGCGCCCCTGCGCGAGAAGCTCGATCTGACGTGTCATGAGACGAAGGCCCTCCAGGAGGAGGCGAACAGGCTCCGCGCGGAGCTCCGGGACACGGTGCACCTCGAGGCGGAGATCGACGCGCTGCAGGACGAGACGAGCCGCGTCGGCGCGAAGCGGCAGGCGGCGCTGGCCAAGCTCGCGTCGTCGAAGCAGCACATCTTCGCCCTCGAGGAGGCCAAGGCCGCCAAGGAGCGCGAGCGGACGCGCGCGGAGGCGCAGCTCGAGGCCGCGGAGCTCGAGGCGAGCCATCAGGCCGAGATCTTAAAACACGAGCAGGACAAGGCCGAGCGCTGGAAGGAGCAGACGGCGGAGAGCCTGCGGGACGCGGCGGCGGCGGAGGCGTCGAAGCACGCGGCGCTCGCGGCCATCGCGGACCTCGACCGCGCGGAGGCGGAGCGGTCCGCGCGCGCGGCCGCGGACGCGGGCGTCCCCGACGGCGATCTAGAGTTGGAGGCCATCAAGGGCGACTACCACGAGGCCATGGAGGCCTGGGCGGCGTCCCACGACTCGCTCCTCGTCAGCAAGCACGCGCGCGCGCGGACCGAGCGAGAGCGCGAGGCGAACGCCGCGGAGAAAACGGAGCTCGAGGCCAAATGGGCCGACGAGGCGCGCGCGCGGGCCCGGGAGCTCGACGCGCTCCAGAAGTCCCTCGACGAGAAGCGCGCGGAGCTCGGGCGCCTGCGGTCGACGCTCGGCGAGTTCGAGGCGCGCGCGGCCGCGCCCGAGGCCGCGCCGGCGCCGCCCGAGGAGCAGGCGAAGCTCGCGGCGCTCGCCAAGACCGTGGAGAGCGCCGCGGACCTCATCGACGACGCGCGGCGCCGCGACCTCGCGGACCAGCGCACGCTCGACGAGCTCGACCGGCGGACCGAGGCCGGCGCCGCGCGCAACGAGGCTTTGAAGGCCGAGCTCGGCGACCTCGAGGCCGAGCTCGCGGCCGCCGAGGCGGAGCTCGCGGAGTACCGCAAGACCGACGTCTACGAGGTCACGCGCGACGAGTACATCTCGACGCTCCGCGGGCCCGACGCCGCGACGCCCGCGCGCAAGCTGCCGACGCGGGCCGCGAAGCCGTCCGTCGCGTCCGTCCGCGCGACGCCGCGGCCCCGGCCCGCCGGCGGCCGCCGCAGCCGCGACTCGCCGCTCACCATCGACATGCTCCGCACGCCCAAGGCCCGCGAGGTCCACGAGTCGCCGCGCGAGAGCCCCCGGTCCAGCCGCCGCGCGTCGCCGCGCGACTCGCCGCGCGACTCGCCGCGCGACTCGCCGCCGACGCTGCCCCCGGCGCCGCGCGGCGTCGTCGACGACGAGGAGGAGAGCGGCTCCGACGACGGCTCCGTCGAGGGCGGCGACGGGGGCGTGTGAGTAAGAAAAAAGATCCTTCCGTGGCGGTACGGAGCTGTGTTGAGGGTCGGCGATCGCGCCTCGGCTGATCCGCTGATCCGCGTTCGGGTCGAGTTTTGAGCGATTTTGCCTTAGCGAGTCCAAGAGCTGAGGCGACGCCCCAGTGAACACGCGCGCCGAGTATGTCGTGGCAGGAGAAGAAGTTGGAGTATGAGAATCGCATGGCCCGAGCGAGGGGCAAAAAACTCGACACTCTCAAGACCTGCACGATCTGCGGCGCCGACAAGGCCAAGGCGTGCAAAGGGTGCGGCACGACGGCCTACTGTTCGACGGACTGCCAACGCATCGACTGGCGCGACCGGGGCCACCGGAAGGTCTGCAAGAAGATCCAGGCCGCGGAGGCGGCGCGGGCCGAAGCGCCGACGCCCCCGCCGTCGCCGCCGCGGGACGTGTTCTACGGCCCCGCGCCGCGGTCGCACGCCGACGAGGTCCGCGCGCGCATCGCGGCGGAACACGAGGCGGCCCGCGTGCGGCGCGAGGCGAACCCGGAGCGGGAGCCGCTGTCTGCGCGGTACGGGTCGCGGTGCCCGATCTGCCTCGAGGAGTGGGACGTGAATACTGGGGGCGTGTTTCGCGTCTGTTGCTGCCGAAAGGTCTGCCAATCGTGCGAGGACAAGATCGGCTTCGGCGCGTGTCCCCTCTGTCGTCTGCCGCGCGCGGAAACCAATGCGGAGGAGCTCGCGCGTCTTCGCCGCCATGTGGAGAACGAGGTGCCGGAAGCGATTACGTTTTTGGGAGAGGGGTACAAACGCGGTCTCTACGGCCTCGTGAAATCCGACAAGAAAGCCGCGAAGATTTATCGGCGCGCCGTGGAGCTCGGAGATGTGGACGCGATGGGACACCTTGCGGAAATGCACGAGTATGGAAGTGGCGTCAAGCTGGACAAGAAGAAGGCGGAGCGGCTGTATCGCGCAGCTGCAGACCGGGGCTACGCGGCCGCGCAAAACAATTTAGGGATTCTACTTGATTCTGAGCAGAAATTTGAAGAAGCGGTCCGGTACCTCGCGCTCGCGGCGAATCAAGGCCATGCCGATGGAGAGAGCAACCTTGGCATTTGTTACATGGTCGGAAAAGGCACGGAAGTCGACCTCGGCAAAGCCAGATACTGGTTCGAGCGCGCCGCTGTCAAGGGCGACGAGAAAGCTACAAGGAACCTCGCGCGCCTTGACGCGCGAGCATAGCCTAACAATCTTCACGCCGCGTCGTCGCCCGAGCCCGAGATGCGGCGCTTGCGCGCGGGCGAGTCGCGCTTGACCTTGGCCTCGTCGTCGCCGCGTTCCCCTCCGCGCCGACCTTCGCGGTCTGGATTCTGGCGTTCTTGAACGCGAAGCCCGCCTGGCGCAAGGACGCGTCGCCGAGGGGGCATGGAGAAAGACATGAACGCGATGAACTCTGGGTGCGCTTAGTTCCGATGATTTTGAGCGATTTCTGCCACGTTGTGAATCTGTCGCCGCGCGCGATGTTTAAGCGCGCCGTCCTCGGGCTCTGCCTGCTCGGCGTGGCCCGGAGCAAGCGCGGCAGAGACGTCCGGACGAACCCGTTCGTGCTGATCTCGACGCAGCGCACGGGGTCGTCCTTCGTCATGCTCACGCTTCGCCGGGAGCTCTGCGACGTCGACACGGAGACCGAGCTCTTCCAGCACCACGAAGGGTGGAACGCGTCGTCGCAGCTCGACGCCCTCGTCGCGCTCTTCGACGGCTCGCGGGCCCCGCCGCCGGCGCTCGCCGCGGTGCCCAGGAGCGGCAAGTGGCGCGCGTTCTACGACAAGTCGCGCGCCTACGAGGCGCCTACGGCGTTCGGCTTCAAGTGGATGATGTCGCAGGACGCGGGGCGCCTCTGGGACGCGTTCCTCGACGGAACGAGAGACGTGCGCCTCGTGTTTTTGAAACGCGACAACTACCTCAAGATGCTCGTCAGCAGGACGGAGAACGGCGCCAAGGACACGCTCGCGCACCCCCGCTCCGCGGAGGACGTCGAGAAGCTGCGGCGCGAGCGCGTGGAGCTGCCGACGACGACGCTCGTCGCGGCGCTCGACGACTGCGCGAAGAAGTTCGCCCAGATGGACGACCTCCGGAGGCGCGCGGAGGCCCGCGGGTCCGCGACGCGCGTCGTCGTCTACGAGGACCTCGTCGCGGACCGCGGCCGCTTCGACGACCTCCGCGCGTTCCTCGTCGAGGGCCTCGACGTGAACCGGAGCGGCTGCGACGCGAACCCGCGGAAGGAGGTCGTCCAGATCCACGACCGGCCGACGTCGACCTACGTGTCCAACTGGGACGACGTCCGCGCCACCGTCGCCGCGTCGCCCTACGCCTACCTCCTCGGCCGGCCCGAGGAGCAGGGGGCCTAGCCCTATGTACGCCGCCGCCGGAGCTCGTCCTCGCCGAGGAGGTGCTGGTACCGCGACCCGCGGAGCGTCGCCTCGACGGCGCGCCAGTTGGCCACGTAGGCCGAGGGCCGGTTCGAGTGGATGACGACGTCCGTGGAGTTGTCGAGGGGCATGAGCCGCTCGGGGCGGCACGCGCTCCGCGCGAGGTCGAGGTCCTTGACGAGGAAGTCGCGGACGTCGTGGAACATTGTGTGGTCCGCGGCGATGTCCTCGTAGACGAGGCGGTAGGTCTCGACGCCCGCGCGGCTCGCGTCGCTCCGGTAGGCGTCCATGAGGGCGAACTTGGCCGCGTACTTGCCGAGCTCCTCGAGGAGGTCTTGGCCCGTCGCGAGGTGGACGAGCGAGTGGCGGATGGCCTCGAGGTCGGCCTCCGTCTCCGGGTGCGCCTCGAGGGCCGTGTTCTTGAGGTTCTTCGTCGAGATGGCCATGCGCAGGTAGTCGCGGCGGTGGAGGAAGACGAGCTTGACGCGGCGCGCCGCGCACAACCGCAGGAACCACGGCCACTGCTCGGCCATGCCCTGGTTCAGCATCCACTTGAAGCCGTAGGCGACGGGGCCCAGGCCGTCCTCGCGGCGCGTGCGGTTGATGAAGCGCTGCGCGACGACGTGGCGGCCGTCGGCCGCCGGCAGCGGCAGGCTCTGGTCGAAGATCGCCTTGATGGCCTCGCGGTGGTTGTACTGGTCCCAGCCGTGGTTGTCCGTGAAGAGCTCGCTCTCCGCGTCGACGTCGCAGGTCTGGCGCCGCAGCGTCTTCATGATCCACTTGCTGCCCGTGCGCTGCGTGGCGACGACGACGAAGGGCGACCGCTTGCGCAGCCCGGCGTCGGGCAGCCGCGGGAAGGTCGGCACGACGTCGTCGAGGTGCTTGCTCAGGCTCGCGTTGTCGTAGTAGCTCGCGCCGGCGACGCGCAGCACCAGGGCCAGCGCGAGGCGGAGACGCATCATATGGGAGACTCTCGTCACGCTGCCATCGTAATAATTTTTATCGCAGTCGAACACGCCGGTTCAACCAGTCTTCATCATCTACTTTTGCCAAGGGCTCCGGAGTACCCCACGACGCACACGCGCGAGGGCTTACCCCACGCGCGCGCGCTTCGGGGGCCCGGCTTGGCCCCGCCCCCGGTTGTGGTTCGCGCCGCGGCCCGGGCCGCGGCCGCCGCGCTGCTGCTGCGGGGGCTGGCCGCGGCCGCGGCCGCCGCCCTTGCCCTGCGGCGGCGGCTGGAGGTTGCGGCGGTCGAGGCCGAGGTCGAGGAGGCTCGTGTCGCAGAGCGCGCAGACCGTCGGCTCGAGGTCCGTGCCCGGCGGCGCGCGGCCGCGCGGGAGCTCGAGGCGGAGGAGCTTCACGGGCGCGCCGCGCGCCGCGGAGCAGCGCGCGCAGTCGCGCGCGAGGACCTCGGCCTTGCGGACGCAGGACGGGAGCCAGACGGCCGCGCCGCAGTCCTTGGTGCACGACACGAGTTTGCGGCCCGACTGCGTCGTCGACAGGAGCAGCGGCTTCGCGCAGCGGGGGCACGCCGCGACGGGCGCCGCGGGCGCCGGGTGGCGCTCGTAGCACTTCGGGCAGCGCGGGAAGACGCGGCCGCTTTCCGGGTGCCGCTCGTCGACGGTGCCGAAGCCGCACGCGTCGCAGGCCCGGCCCCGCGGCGCGTAGTCCCTGTTGTGCGCGAGCGGCCACCACGCGTCGCAGCCGTCGCAGCGCAGCGTCGGCGTCGGCCGCGCGCCCCGCTCGTAGAGCGCCATCGTCGCGCCGCAGTCGCCGCACGCGACGCCCGCGAAGTTCGCGACGCGGCTCGCGGCCGGCGCGGCGGCGCCGCCGCCGCCGCCGCCGCCGAAGCGGCGGCGCATGGCGTCGTCGAGCTTGGCGACGTCGCGGCTCACGGCGTCGAAGGAGTCGCGCATGGTCCGGAGGCAGTCCGCGAGCACGGCGTCCTTGGACTTGGCGCCCGACGCGACGAGCGCGACGTCGGCCTCGAGCGCCGCGCGGAGCTGCGGCAGGTTCAGCCGCATGCCCATGGCGTCGTAGGCCTCCACGAGGGCGCTCCCCAGGGGCGTCGGCCGGAAGACGTGGGGCGGCGCGTTGTCGCGCAGCGCGTAGTCGCGCGTCAGCACCGTCTTGATGTGGTCGGCCATCGTCGCGTCGGTGCCGATGCCGTGCGCGTCCATCTTCGACAGCAGGTCCGCCTCCGTGAGCCCCCGCGGCGGCTGCGTTCGCGACCTGGCCAAATTGAGCGCGGACGGCCGCGGCAGCGCGTCGCCCGCGAAGAAGGGCGGCAGCGTCGCGGTCGACCACGACTCGTAGGGGTAGACGTCGAGGTAGTTCCGCTCGTCGACCATGAGCCCCCGCGCGTCGAAGCGCTCGCCGCCGAGCTGGGCCGTGGCGTTCGTCTGGCGCCCCCGGGCGTCGCGGGCGCAGCAGGCGAGGAAGTGGCGCGCGATGAGCTCGAAGACCTTCGCCTCCTTGCCCTGGAGCTCGTTCGCGGCCACGGCCTTCGTCGGGTGGATCGGCGGGTGCGCCTCGTCGTCCTTGGCGCCCTGGCGCGGCCAGAGGAAGGCGCGCCGGTCGTCCGGCGGGAGATCTAAGAGCTGGGCCGCGAAGGTGCCGAAGCGGCCGTCGGGCCGCTGGCGATCCACGAGCTCGCGGACGTCGCACGTGTCGCGGAAGAGCTCCGTCTCCGTGCGCGGGTAGGACACGTAGCCCCGCTGGTAGAGCGCCTCGGCGACCTCCATGGTCTCGGCGGACCCGAGCTTGAGCCACCTGCTCGCGCGCTTCTGCAGCTCGAGCGTCGACAGCGGCAGCGGCCGCGGCTTCGCCGCGGGCTTCGCCTCGACCTTCTCCAGGACGCCTTGATCCTTCCCCGCGACGCAGCCGTCGAAGAAGACGTGGGCCGCCCCGACGTCGAAGACGCGCTTCCGCCGCCAGTCCCAGCGCACGCGCGGCGCGCCCGCGGACCCGCCCGTCTCCATATCGACGCGCCAGAAGTCGCGCGCGTCGTGCGCGTCGATCTCCTGCTGCCGCGCGACGATGAACCCGAGCGTCGGGAACTGGCAGGGGCCGTAGGACACGACGCCCTCCTCGGCGACGCCCGCGTACTTGCCCTGGACGCGGAAGGTCTGGAACCGCGTGAACGCCGCGCCGCTCCGCAAATCGAGCTCGCACCGCGCCGCGACGGCGTCGGCCTTGCGCTTGTCCGGCCGCCCGAGGGACCGCCAGGCCTTCAAAATCTCCTTCTCGTCGACGGAGGAGAACTTGGCACGCCAGAGGTCCACGTTCGGCTTTATTCTCCGGCACACGTCGACGACCTCGAACGCGATGGCCTCGCCCTCGCGGTCGCAGTCGAGCCAGAGCACGAGCCAGTCCGCCGCGCGCGCCTCGTCCTCGAGCTGGCGCTTCAGCGGGGCCTTCTCCTCGGCGACGGTCCACTCGACCCGACTCAGATCCTCGCAGAGGAGGTCCCGCGGCGCGCACGCGTGCCACTTGTTGTGCGGCTCCTCGAACTCCGTCGACATGAGGTGGCCCGTGACGGACGTGACGACGTGCCGCACGCGGCACGCGCCGTGGCTCGGCGGGCCGCCCGTCTCGAAGTCGAAGAGCCGGTTGTACACCGACGGGCCCTGGCGGTTGTTGCAGGCGACGCCCTTGCTCAGGTGCTCCGCGACCTTCTTCGCCACGCTCGGCTTCTCCGCGACGTGCAGCGCGCGGATGAGGCGCGGCATCGCGTAGGCGGCGGCGCCGGGCCGCGCGCGCTCAAGTTCTACGGCGCGCGCAGCGCGGATGGGGGCTTGCGAGCACGCAAACTGCGGCCCATCAGGCCTTCTAGGGATCGATCGGTCCTTTGCGCCAACCGCGCGGCAGCATGTCGGCCGCGCAAACCAAAGTGAGCGATCCGAAGTCGGAGCACGAAGGATGAAGGGCTGCTCCAGTCGAGGCAGTGAGGGCGTGGAGACCCTGGGGGAGGCCCTCTAGCTGTAATCCCTCCTAGCCTAGCCGCTGGATCTTGCCGCCGGCGAAGTGAGAAGCACGATGGATGAAGGGCTGCTCAGTCGAGGCAGCGAGGGCGTGGAGATCTCCGCGACTACCTCCTACGCGGCGCTCCCTCCCGGTCACACCGAGCAGCCGACGGCGAAGAGCTGGCGGGCCTGCGCCGTCCTCGCCGTGAGCGTGCTCCTGTCCATGTCGACGTGGCTGTCGGCGTCGGTGGTGCTGCCCTACCTCGAGGCGTACTTCCGCATCGACGAGGACGACGCGCCGCTGCTGACTATTTCTGTCCAGCTGGGCTTCGTCGTCTGCGCCGTCGCGCAGGCCATCGTGCAGCTCCCGGACCGGTGCAACTGCCGGCGGCTCATGTGCGCCGGCGGCCTCGTCGCGTGCGTCGCGAACCTGGCCATGCTCGCGTGCCGCGCGTTCTGGCACGCGCTCGTCGCCCGGTTCTTCACGGGCGTGGCCATGGCGCTCATCTACCCGCCGTCGACGAAGGTCCTGGCGACGTGGTTCGCCGCGCGGCGCGGCTTCGCGATGAGCTTTTTGGTCGGCGCGATCTCGCCGGGCTCGGCGCTGCCGAACCTCGTCAAGGCCATGCCCGGGGGCGCGGGCCTCTGGGAGAGCCGGCGCGGCTTCGTGCTGCTGACCGTCGTCACGACGGGGCTGACCCTCGTCGGCGCGGTCATGCCCGTCGCGCTCCTCGGCGACGGGCCGTTCCCGTTCCCCGCGTCCACGAAGTTCAGGGCGTCCAACCTCCTGAAGATCGCGCGCAACGGCCCGGGCATGCTCGTCATCGCCGCCTACTGCGGCCACAACTGGGAGCTCTACGGCGCGTGGTCGTCGATCCCGAGCTTCTTCGCCGCGGGCGTCTTCGGCGCGCGCGCGGCCGCGGTCCTCGCCTTCCTCGCCATCACCATGGGCGGCGTCGCGGCCGTCGTCCTCGGCCAGTGCGGCGACGCCTACGGCCGCGCGAAGTTCTGCGTCGCCTGCTCCCTCGTCTCCTGCGCGTGCGACGTCGCCGTCGGCCTCTGCGGCGCCGCGGCGCCCAAGGCCGCGACGGCCGCCTTGGTGCTCGTCTGGGGCTTCTTCCTCGTCCCCGACTCGCCGCAGTACTCCACGCTCATCACGGAGCTCTTCGAGCCCGAGCTCGTCGGCACGGCGCTCGTGCTCACCCAGGCCCTCGGCTACGTCTGCACGATGCCGTCCATCTACCTCATCCCGAAGCTCGCGGAGGTGCCGGGCGTCCGGTGGCGCTGGACCTTCGCGTCCCTCGCGCCGGGCGCCGCCCTCGCGGTCGCCTGCATGCTCCGGCTCGACGCGAGCCAGCGGCGCGAAGGCCGGATGGCGCTGTCGACCCAGGAGGCAGCGTAACGAGCGGTCCGACGTGAAGTGGCGTAGCTTGGGAATTGCCTCACTCTTCTTGCAGTGGCATTGCACTGCAAGACCTTCGCAGCCAGCCCGGATTTCGAAATGGCAATGCCCGAATCGAGCTGAGCGATCTAGCACATGGAGTCGACGAAGAGACCCCGAGAAATTCAGGCGGCGCCTCCACAAGATGGCGCTCGCACGACGCCCGCCTTCCTGTCCCTCTGGTCGCGCGCTGACTTGGCCGACAACGTTGTCTCGTACCTGCCGGCGTTTCACATCGCGCGCCTCTCGCGCGTCGCGAAGCCCGTCTTCGCGTCGCTACCGCGGATTCTCTTCGCAGCAGCTCGGCGGCGGCGCGTCACTGGGTTGGCCATGCGCGCGTTCGTCGAGGCGCTGGCGACGGGCGAGCCGCGCCACTTCCGCGAGACGTGGATCGACGGATTGGCGCACTGGGATGTGATAAACGGGGCTTGCTCTCCGAGCATCGTCGGCACACCACCCCGACTCGAGCTTGCGAATGGGTCATTTTCTCACAACGGCCTCCGCTACCGGATCTCGGGCGAGCACCAGGTCATCACACGGTTCCGGGTGAATGTGTCAGTCCAAGGCAAAGAAGGCAGCAGACACCCGAGCGGCATCGGGTATGCATTTATATGTGGTCCGAATGTGGATGATACTCGTGAAAAATTTATTCATGCCACCAACGACTTCGTAGCTGGCGTGTACTTCCGAACTGAAGACGGTCCACCCCGCCGACTCGTCTGGCTCCATCCGACTATCGATGGAAATCGGCAGTCTTCCGTGCTGGTCGAAGACGCTTCCGTCGGGTGGTACTGCGTCGATGCGACTTTCTCCTATGCCGAGGGCGACGACCGCGACGGCACCGTTCACGTCGTGGTCAACGGAGTACTTGCAGGGGTTTACCCTTTCCTTTCGCGCCCGCTGGATTCCATTCAACTCTACAACTTCTGCAACGGCGGCAGGGCGACCTATGGCGACATCGACGTCTGGCACAAGCGAGTGCCGGCGAGCACCCAGTTCGGGCCGCCTATTCGAGAAAGGGCGAACGAGACGGTCGAGGAATGACTGGCAGGATTGAAGCCGGCTGTAGCGGCCGCCTACTAGCGCCCCTCGCTAAGTGGAGTCTATTATCATGCAGGGGGGCGGCCGCTCAGAGCGAGGTCGACGCGCGGGGCCGCCTCGAGGGCGTGTGGCCCTCCGTCTCCGCCGGGATGAAGGCGGCCACGGGCCTCGCGAAGCCGTCGAGGATGTTCGCGAGCGCGAGGGCGAGCGGGTGGTCGATGGACGCGAGGTAGATGCGGAGGATCGCCGTGATGGGCACCGCGAGCACGCAGCCCGGGATGCCCCAGAGGAAGCCCCAGATCATGAGGCTCAGGAGCACGACGACGGGGTGGAGCTTCATGGAGTGGCCGAAGAGGATGGGCTCGACGACGTTGCCGACGACCGCGTGCATGACCACCAAAGACGTGAACGCGAGGAACGAGTTGAAGAGGCTCCCGCTGGGGTCGATGAGCACGACGGGCATGGGCAGCACGACGGCGACGACGGCGCCGATGTTCGGGATGAAGTTCGCGAAGAAGGCGACGACGCTGAACGCGAGCCAGAGGTCCACGCGCAGCGCGCAGAGCAGCGCCGCGGTCAGCACGCCGACGAGGAACGACAGCGCGATCTTGCCCTTGATGTAGGCGTTGATCTGCTTGTCGACGCGCTTCGTGAACGAGCTCTCCTTGCTCGGCGGCGGCCCGGGCGAGCCCGGCGCCGCGCGCTCCTCGCCGAGGCCCGTCGGCGTGAGGAGCAGGTAGAGCGTGAAGAGGATCACGAGCGCGGTCGTCGACAGCAGGCTCAGCAGCCCCTCGCCCAGCCCAAAGACCGTCGCCGTGACCCAGGAGCTCAGCTCGAGCTTGTCCGCGACCTTCTCCAGCGACTGGGACTTGCGCCACTTGCGGTCGATGCCCTGGCGGTCCATCCAGCGGACGATGTGCACGAGGAAGTTCTGCACCTGCTCCGCGTAGGCGTCGGCCCGCGACGTGAAGTCGCGCACGCTTTCGGTGACCACGGCGCAGACGCCGCCTAAAAACGCCAGGGCCACGAGCAGGCTCACGAGCACCGCGAGCCAGTGCGGCAGCGCCGCCGCGCGCGACCGGCGCCGCGCGGCCCGGACCGCCGCGCCGACCGCGCCGAACCTGGCGCAGCGCGCGTCCCACTTCTCCTCCTCGTCGCGGTCGTAGCGCCGGTGCTTGCGCGTGAGCGCGTCGATCATGGGCTGGAGCAGGTACTTGAGCGACATGCTGAGCACGAGCGGCACGAGCGCGAACTTGAGCTTTGCGAGGCCGTAGGACAGCACGCCCATGGCGCAGATGACGAGGCACACCGTGCGCAACCGCTCCTCGAGGTCGTGCTGCGACGCGTTGAGCGCCCCGAAGCGGATCGTGCCCCGCCGGTGGTGCAGGTCGTCCTCGCTCCCCAGGCGCTGGATCATGGGCTCGCTCGCCCCGTCCTTGAAGTAGCCGCCGGACTCGCTGTCGTAGTTCATGCCGCTGCCCTCCGGCGACGGCCGGCGGGCCGTAATGGTGCCGGGACGGTGGGACTCTGGCGCGGGCGGCGGCGCGGCGGCGCGGCTAGTTTTGGCTGGCCAGGTTCAGCGACCACTGCATCTTGCCCGTGTTGAAGGCTGCGCAATGGGCTGCCTCGATCGTCGACGGTGACATGTCGAGCTTCAAGGCCTTCCTCGCGCAGAAGCAGGCCGGCGGCGTCCAGGTCGGCGTGCGGCACTGGAGCGGCAAGGCCGACGCCGACGCGCGGCAGCGGGTCTGCTCCACGTCCCAGCCCTGCCGCTGCGCGCCGTCGACGAAGCGGCACCGCGTCGGCGCGGACGCGCTCGTGAGCGTCATCGCTCCCACGACGGGCGCGCGCGCGGAGCTCCACGCGGCGCTCTACGCGTCCTTCGCTCGCCAGCGACACGCGAAGAAGGAGCTGCTCGTGCTCGACACGGGCGCCGCGGCGCCGTCGCCGTTCTTCGCGGCCCTCGACGACGCCCGCGTGCGCTACGTCCACGAGCCGGACCTCGTCACCGGCGACGACGGCGACGCCGAGAAGGTCGGCATCAAGCGGAACCGGCTCTGCGCGATGGCGCGGGGCGACGCGATGGCGTGCTTCGACGACGACAACGTCTACGGGCCCGACTATCTGACGGTCATGCTCCAGCATCTGGCCGCGTCGGGCTCCCAGCTGCTGACGCTGGGCGCGTACTACACGGCGGAGATCGCCGGCGACGGCTTCAACGGCGGCTGGCTCAACAGCAACCGCGGCGCGGCGTCGGACCGCTACCTCGAGATCCGCGGCGTCGTCGTCGGCCGCGCGCGCAAGTGCTGGGACAAGCGCGGCGAGACCTTTTTCTTTTCGAAGGATGCCTTCGACCGGGGGCGCGCGCGCTTCACGGAGTCGAAGAGCTGCGGCGAGGAGGAGGCCTTTTACAGGGGCGACGACTTCCACGCGGTCGTCGACGATTTTGGTATCTTCGTACACGTGGACCACGGCAAGAACACGGGCGCGCCGCTGTCGAACGACTACAACCGGCGCGACCTGCCGGCCGAGCTCGCCGCGTTGCTGCGCGAGCAGCTGCCGTGCTACCGGCGGTTCGCGGCCGCGGTGGCCAACGGCACGGCGTGCGCCGAGATCGCCTACGAGCCCAACGTCGACGGCTGGGTCCAGAAGCCCGCGCGGCGCGCCGGGGCGTAACGGTGGAGGTGCTTGGGTGCGGTACGTTGACGGAAACTTGCAGTCATTGAAGCTTCTCGTCATCGAGAGAGCATGCTGCGCGTCGTCGTAAGCGCGGCGCAGCGCTGCGGCAGGCGCAGGCGCCAGTTCTCGAGCGATAAAATAGCCATCAGCTTCGGAGGCAGCGGCCTCATGATGATCTGGCAGTTCGGCGTGGCGCATGCGCTTGCCCAGGAGCGCAGTCTCATGGAGAGAGTCGAACGCGTCCACGGCACGAGCGGCGGCGCCATCGCCGCGTACCTGCTGCTCGAACAGCCGGAGCGGCTCACGGACTGCGTGGCGCACTACACGAACCGCGACTTCTTCGACGGCTTGAAGCTCCGCGACGTCGTGTCGCCGCACGACGCGCTGCTCCGGCGGACGTTCGCGCGGCTCGACCTGCTGCGGCCGGGCGCGGCGGCGCGGCTCGGCGGCCGCTTCGTCGCCCACGGCACGTCCTTCGCCGGCGGGCGGCCGGCGAACGTCGCCGTCGACGTCGCGGAGGACGGCGACGTCCTCGACGCCATCTCCGCGAGCTGCTGCTTCGACCTCTCCGGCGTCGACGTGGACGGCGAAACGCTCTGGGACGGCGGCCTCAGCGAGCCGCTCTCGCCGGACTCGACACTGCCGACGCTCGAGGTGTCCATCATCTCCGGCGACGCGCACGTCTCGCCGGGCGCCGCGCGGCCGATGGCGGCCGACGAGGCGCCGAAGCACCCGTTCCTCCGCTACGACTGGTCGCCGCCCAACGCCGCGGCCCTCGCCGAGGCCGCGTGCCTCACGCCGGCGCGGGCGCAGTACCGCTTCGACCAGGGCCGGCGCGACGGCGAGGCGTTCCTCGAGCTGAGCCGATGACATTTTTTTCTCCGCGGGGTTCAATTAGGATCTCTTCGGCGCTCTTAGCTAGGAATTCCTAGTGGCGATGCGTCCTAGAGGTAGGGCCCGATGACGCCGCGGATGACGTCCTGGACGTCGACTCGGCTCCGCAGTTCGTCCGGGACGCAGGCGCGAAGCAGCGCGGCGACGACCAGCGCGGCCTTGCGCTTGGCGGCGAAACTCGCATCGTCCACAACCGACCGGTTGTCGACGGTCACGCGGCCGCACCGCGCGAGCTGGACGAGCGCGTCGAAGCCGGCGGCCACCGCGATCGCGACCGCGTTGGCGTCGTTGTTGTGGGCGATGTTGCCCAGCGCGTACGCGGGCGACCACTTCGCGTACGTGCTCCCGTCGCGCAGGAGCTCGACGAGCGACGCGATGCCGCCGGCCTCGGCGATCAGGACCTTGTTGGCGGCGTTGTAGCACGCGAGGTAGCCCAGCGCCCACGCGGCCGTCCATCTGGCCTCCGCGCTCCCGTCGTGCACGAGCTGGACGAGCGGCGGGATGCCGCCGGCCTTCGCGATCAGGACCGTGTTGGCGGGTCTGTTGCACGCGAGCTCGCGCAGCGTCCGCGCCGCCGCCACCTTCGCTGCGTCGTCGCCCCAGCGCAAGGCGCGGACCAGCCCCTCGATCTCCGCCATGCTTGACCCCTTGATAAAACGCCGATGTTTCCCTCTGCTTGACATTCAACCTTCGGGGCTGCCGACGATGGCCCTCGTGGCGGCGGCCCAGGCGGGGTCTTTAGCCGCCATGCGGCGGCGCGAGGACGCCAAGCCGCAGACCTACATCGTCCCGGCGTCGTCCATGACCACGCAGGCCGAGCGCATGGCCATCCTCGCGCGCTCGGACTCCATGCTCCGCCGCCTCTCCCTGGAGCAGAACAAGGCCGGCGGCGTCGTGGTCTACGCGAGCGAGTCGACGATCGCCTACGAGGCGGCGCGGACCGCGCCCTTCGCGGCCTGCGACGACGCGCCGACGACGCGCGCGGAGCGGCTCTCGATGCTCATGTCGAGCCAGTCGATGAGCCGCCGGCTCTCGCGCGTGGAGCCGGCGCCGGCGGCCGCCGACGCGGCGGTCGTCGACATGCCGGCCCTGACGACGCGCGAGGAGCGACTCTCGCTCCTCCTCCAGACGAACACCGTCATGGGCGACGCGCGGGCCGCGCGCCGCCGGTCGTCCGCGGCCGCCGCGCGCCGGAGCGCCGGGCACCGGAGACCGCGGCGGTCCGCGGCGTGCGTCGTCTCGTAGACGCCACGCTCACGCGCGTCGTCTCGTAGATGCCGAACGCACGTCGTCTCTTCGATGTTACGCTCGCGCGGGGGGGTGGTGGGGCAATGGGACCCCTAGAGGGGATTCCTCGTGATCTCCGTGATGCTCTCCGTGAGGGCCTTCTGCGCGGCGTCCGCGAGGTGCTTCTCCGCGTCGCGGTCCTCGCCCTTCTGCTGCATGAGCTCCACGGAGGGCGTGAGGAAGGACGCGACGAGGTCCTTGACGAAGGCGTCGCGCGCGACGCCCTCGGCGGCGTCGTTGACGACCCCCGCGGCGAGCGCGCTCGACTTGCCCCGCAGGCTGTCGGCCATGGCCGCGTTGAGGCCGTCGTCGCTCTGGAGCTCGACGATGGCCTGGCGCCGCGCGGCGTCGTCGATGGACGCCTCGAGGATCTCGTCCACAAAGGTCCGCGCCGCGCCGAGGTGCGCCGCCATGACCTGCTTGTAGACCTCGTCGGACCGGCCGCGGAGCCGCTCCTCGGCCTGGCGCCGGCCCGCCTCCTCGGCCTCGCGCTGCCGCCGCTCGTTGTCCGCGCGCTGCGCCAGAGCCTTGAGCCGCTCCTTCTCCTCGCGGCGCACGAGCTCCTTGGACAGAAAGTCGAGCATGGACGACGCCATCTCGCCCGCGATCGTCTCCATCGCCGCGCGCGCCACGGCCGCGCGGTTCTCCGCGGCCGCGACCTCCGCGCCCGCGCGCGCGTCCGCCGCCGCGTCGTCGTCCGTCTCCGCGGCCCTGGCCTCGTCCGCGGCCCGCAGCTCGCGGATGAGCTCGAGGCGCCGCTCCTTGCCCTCGTACATCTGGTTCTGCACCGCGCGGCCGCGGATCAGGCGCTGGAAGAGCTTGACGGCCATGTCGAAGACCTCCGCGTCCTCGTCGCGCGGCTCGACGCGCGGCGTCGGCGGCCGCTCGGCCTTGGACACGCGCGTGCGCCAGGACGGTAGCAAGTCCTTCTTCGCCTTCTCGGGGTCCTCGGCGATCTCCTTCTTCGTCGCCAGGATCGTGTTCATCTTCAGCAGGTCCGCCGCGAGCTGCTGCTTGTGGCGGTCCTTGGACGTGCGCGCCGTCGCCTCGTTCTCGTTCTCCGGCTTCGTGACCTTGGTGGCCGTGAGGTGGCCCGGCAGGTTGTATTCCAAGGACGCGAGCACGCCGTGGTTGCCGAGGTCGGGCACGCGCCGCGTGACGTCGAAGACCTCGCCGTCCTTGTCGGGCCGCTGGCCGAGGCGCGCGATGGGCGCGTAGACGCGCGAGCTGTAGGTGCCGTACTCCGAGATGATGTCGCGGTTCCCGGACCGGCGCTTGGAGCCCGGCGGCTCCGACGCGGGCATCTGGAGCCGGCCGCGCGCCATCGACAGCTTCCGCAGCACCTTGATGCGCTGGCTCTGGATCTGCTCCACGGACCGGTCCCGCTCCTCGATCTGCCGCTGGCGCAGCGCCTCGACGCGCTGCTCCGCCAAAAATTCGTTGTCCTGGTCGCGGTCGACCAGCGCCTGGCGCAACAGATCCAGCCGCTCCTCGTGGGCCTCGTCCATCTCCCGCTGCCGCAGCCGGAACTCGCGCATCTCCTGGAGCTCCAGGAGCTTGCGCCGCAACCCCAAACTCGCCTCGTCCGTCGCCGGGGGCAGCGACGCTTCCAATTTGTGCTTTTTCTGCGCGTGCTCGATCATCAGCACCTCCTGCTCGCCCGCGGGCAGCCCCCGCTCGTGGCTCAGGCCCTTCAGCATCAGGATCTGGGGCGACTCGCCCGGCGGGATGACGTACTCGGGCGAGTAGGGGTCCGTCTGCGCCTCGGACTCGCGGTACTTGGTCTGGACCGTCGCGTCGCGGACGCGCGACTCGGGCGCGTCGTCGAGGGGCGTGGCCTACAAAAAGGGGGGGTCGTCGGCGGGCGCGCGGCGCAAAAGTGCGACGCGGGCGGTCGTGCGAGCGGGTCCACCTCCGCCGTCGGCGCGAGGAGCACGCCCGGCGCCACCGCGTCGAGGTGGGGCACCATGGGGCGCTGGAAGAACTTGTAGCGCCCGGAGCCCGACATGGCGGCGGCGTCGAACTTGACCGCCGGCGCCTTGGGCCCGCCCGCCGTCGCCCACACGGGGTCGAAGTAGGCATCGTAGGCCCGCGACTCCGTGCGAGCCATAGCCGATAGCGCACCCCACCAGACGACGATAGTTATACAGAGATACGCTGCGGCTACGTTGAGTTCAACGTGCTGTCTCGCCACAAGCACTCTGCGAGCTGCGAGTAGCTGCTTGTGCCGGCGCGATGGCCTGGGAGGACCTGCCGTTGCTCGCGGTGGTCGGTCACGCGGTGCTCGCGCCCTTCAGCAAGGTCGAGGAGTCGTTCAACACGCAGGCCGTGCACGACCTGCTCTTCGCGGACTTCGCCGACTTCGACCACCACACGTTTCCGGGCACCGTGCCGCGGACGTTCCTCGGCGCCATCGCCGTCGCGGGCGCCTACCGCGCCGCGGCGCTCCTGCACGCCCCCGTCGCGCGGCTCTGCCCGGCCGCGAGCGCCGCCGCGCTCGCGCGGCTCGCGGGCTCGGCGTCGCCCGCCGCGGGGCCCCGGCTCCTCGGCGTCCAGGTCGCGTGCCGCCTCGCGCTCGGGTGCCTCTGGGCCGCGGGCTTCCGCCGCTTCGCCGCCGGCGCGCGCCGGCGCTTCGGCGGCGGCGCGGCGACGTGGCTCTGCGTTTTGACGGCCGTCCAGTTCCACCAGCCTTTCTACGCGTCGCGGTTCCTGCCCAACTCGCTGGCCATGCCCGTGGTGCTCTGGAGCTACGGCGAGGCGCTCGCGGGCCGGCGCGGTTTGGGGCTCGCGCTCCTCGCGGCGGCCTGCGCCGCGTTTCGCTGCGACGTCGCCGCCGTCGCGATCCCGCTCGGCTTGGTCTGGTGCCTCTGGCCGGGCCTGCCCGGCCGCGCGCGCCTCTTCCGCGTGGGCGCGCCGTGCACGCTGTTGGGCGCCGCCGCCGCCGTCGCCGCGTCCGTCGCCGTCGACTCGCGGCTCTGGGCGAAGCCCGGCGGGGCGGTGGCGTGGGTCTGGCCCGAGGGCGCGGTGCTCCTCTACAACAACCCCGTGGACAACCGGTCCGCGGCCTGGGGCGTCGAGCCCTGGCACTGGTACGCGTCGAGCGCCCTGCCTAGGAGCCTCGCCGGCGCGCTGCCCCTCGCGGCCGCGGCCGCGGCCCTCGACGCGCGCCGCGTCGTCCCGGAGCTCGCGCTGCCGGCGGCCGCGTCGCTCCTGCTCCTCTCGGGCCTGCCCCACAAGGAGCTCCGCTTCGCCTTCCCGGCCCTGCCGCTCCTCACGCTCGCCGGCGCCGTCGCCGCGGACCGCCTCGCGCGGCCCGACGCGAAGGCGCGCGGCGCCGCGGCGTTCGTCAAGCGGCTCGCGGTGCTCGGCCTCGTCGCGGGGACGGCCGCGGCGACGTGCCTCTTCGCCGCCGCCGCGCGCGTCAACTACCCCGGCGGCGTCGCCCTCCGCGCGCTCCACGACCACTTCGGCTACGACCTCGGCCGCGGCGCCGCGGTGCACCTCGACGACAAGGTCGCGACGACGGGCGCGTCGCGCTTCGGCGAGGAGCTGCGCGGCGCGGGCTGGACCTACGACAAGACCGACGGCCTCGAAGACTTCGACGGCTTCGACTTCGCGCTCGCGGAGCTGCCCGTCGCGAAGCGCGGCCTCGCGGACGGCTTCGACGTCGTCGCGACCGTCGACGCCTACGCGGGCCTCCGCGTCGACGTCGCAACCTTCCCGTTCCTCCACGTGAAGACGGCGCCGAGCGTCGCCGTCCTCCGCCACAAGAGACACGCCGACACGCGCAGGGAGCCGCTCGCCTTGGTGTAATCTTCAACAACTGATGGTGCCGAGGCTGGCATCGATGGGATGCTCTTGTTGGCATGCTCTCTGTCGCTCTCGCGCTGCAATGCATGGCCTTTACGCTCGCCGCGCTGGCGCGCGCCGACGACTGCGCGCGCGAGCGGCTGAAGATGGCCGCGGAGGCCGACGTGCGCGCGGGGCGCGGCACGACCTGGTATGAGCACATACAAAAGGCCGGCGGCCATGCGGTGTGCGAGCTCTATAATCTCTTCGGTGAAGCGCGGCCATGCGTCAGCGTCAGGCGCTGCGGACCGCTTCACAACGGCCGCTGCGGCGACTCGCGCGCCGACGAGGCGCTCAACGCGCTCCGCAACGCGACCGCGGCCCGGAGCTTCCTCCGCGACCGCGGCGCGTCGTTCTACGGCCACGAGTTCGGCGCGCTGCCCCACGCGCCCGAGCCGGGCGTCATGGCCTACGTCGCCGTGGTCCGCGAGCCGCGCGCCTGGTCCGCGAGCTGGCGGCGGAGGTTCCGAAGCCGCGACGCGACGAGCTTCGCGGAGCAGCTCGGAGCCTGGCGCGTCCCCGGCGCGCACGCGGCGCCCGAGGCGCTCCTCGCGGCCGCGAAGCAGTTCGTCGACGCCTGCTCCGTCGCCTTCGCCCTCGACGACCCAGCCGACGACGACGGCGGCTTCGCGGTCCTCGGCTGGGGCCGCCGCGATCCGGCGGCGCTGCGTTTCGCGATGGCGCGGAACGCGAACCGCACGCGCGCGAGCAACGCGCGGCTGGTCGCCGACGACTCTGGCGACTCCGCGTCCGATCTCGACGCCGAGATCTACGAGTACGCGCGGTCGCACGGGACCCGGCAGCGCGAGCGGAGGATCGCCTGCGGACTAGGCTCTTAGGCGCATTCGCTCCTCTGGCGCCCGCGCGCCTTGGAGGCGGAGGAATTGATGCCGAGCGCGAGCCAGGCGGCGAATTTGGGCGGGAACTCGGAGGTCTCCGCGGTGTCCCCGTCCCGGACGCGGACGTGGTCGCGGTACTTGGCGCACGGCGTGGCCGCCGAGCAGACCATGTCCTTCGCGCCGGAGATGAGGAACTGCGAGTTCGTCCAGATGTGCGTGTGCTTCCGCTCGTCGGCGCCGAACTGGCAGTACCTAAACACCGGCGAGTCGGCGCGCGACCGGCAAGTCGGCGCGCGAACGATTCGCGAGACGCGGAGTTCCCACGACACCTGGACGCGCGTCAGGCCCAGCTCGAGCGCGGCGTCCGTCCAGGGCTTGTAGTCCTTCAACACGCCCACGGGGTTCTCGATGGTCATGACCACGTCGGGGTTGACGCGCTTCGCCTCGTGCAGGAGGTCGATCGTGCGCGCGACGACGCTGTTCGCGCGGCGCGCCTCGTCCGTCGCCCCTTCGATCTTCCGCGCGGCGCCCTTGCCCGGTCGGTGTTTCCCGGCGGCCAAATACGAAAACGTCTTGCACGGGATCGACGCGTGGACGGCGTCGCGGTAGCCGACGGCGGCGACCTCGAAGTCGCGGACGTCGCACGCGTAGGTCGCCGGCCGCGCTCCGGACCACGAGCCGTCGTCGAGCGTCTCGACGTCCCAGGCCCCGCCCAAGAGGGCGTCGGAAAGGACCTGCTTCCCGGAGAAGAGCTCCAGGAACGACGACTTCGGCGACCGCCGCGCGTCCGCGTGCGCGTCGCGCGATTGGCGTCGCTTGCGCTTCGCGCGCGTGCCGCGCTTCGCGTCCCGCGGCGCCTCCTCCTCGGCCGTCCGCTTCGGCGTCCGCCGCCGCACCTCGGCGACGTCCTGGCGGCGCCGCGCGTGGTAGCGGTCGCGCTCCTTGTAGGCCTCGATCTCCGCGAGGTCGCACTCCTCGACCTCCGGCGCGTCGACCTCGCCGGGCTTCATGAGCACCGGCCGCCACGTGACCTCGATCGCCTTGTCCTTGAGGCCCGTGATGACGCCGCGGTGCTCGCCGCTGCCGCGGAAGTGGACCTGGAACTCCTGGCCCAGCGCGACGCTCTCGCGCGTCGTCGGCGGCCGCCGGATGAGGTTGGCCGCGACGCCGTACTCCACGTCGCCGTCGTCGTACGCGACGTCGTAGGTCGCATCGTCGCGCCGCGCCGCGATCTTGCCCGGGAACCAGTCGGACCAGTCGGCGCCGCCCTTCCAGCGCGCCTCGACGACCGTGCCGCGGTCGAAGACCCGCGGCGCGGGCGGCGGCTGCGGCGCCGGGGCCTCGTCGAAGGGCCGCGGCGCCCGGTGGCGCCGCGGGCCGAGGCTCGCGCCGAAGCGCACGAGCGCCGACTCCGCGAAGGACGCGGTCGTGCCGCGCCAGGCGTAGGCGACCTCGACGCCGTAGCGGATGGTGTAGAAACCGTCCTGCACGGAGATGACCGTCACGGGGATGTGCGGGTGGAGCTTGGACGCGACGATCGCGCCGACGGCGTAGGTCGGCGCGGGGTCGTCGCCGGCGGCGTCCGTGGCGTCGTCCGGCGGCGGCGGCTCGGTCGGCGGCTCGGTCGGCGGCTCGGTCGGCGGCTTGGTCGGCGTCGGCTCGGTCTGCGGCTCGGTCGGCGGCGGCTGCGGAGGCGCAGGCGCCTCGTCCTCACTGTCGCCTGTGAGGTCGATGACCACTGGTCCAGAATCTGATGTCGAAGGCGGTGTCGGAACCGACGGTGCTACATCACGCACGCCGGCAGTGTTGTGGTCGGCGATCTCACGCAACATGCGCGACATATGCATCTCGCAGAGCACGGCAGGGCTCCACCTCGCGCCGATTTCCTACCCCTTCAAGGTGACATTCAACTTCGGCGGTACGCTGCCTTCGGCTCAGTCGTCGCTACGCAACAAACTGAATTTGAAGCGTTCAACATCGGCAGTTTAACGATGCCCTCGGCTCGCTCGTCGCTACGCAACGTGAAATTGATGCGAATTTACGTTTCGAGGATGGATTTGACGAGTTCTCCCTCGTTGTAAGTGAAGATGAAGAAGATGAGGATGTAGGAAGGGATGACGATGTAGCGGCCGACGAGGTCCGTGGGGTAGTCGTGGTAGACCTCCAGCTCGCCGTCGTCCTCGGGGGGCGTTCCCAACAGGCGCATCGACGCAGAGTGCGTCAGAGAGCCGAGCATCTTGCGCGTGGACGGCGCGTGCGCGGACAGCGTCTCCGGGGCCTCGTCCGGCAGCGGCGGCGACCCCCCCCGGGACGACCGGCTCGGCGACGGCGGCGCCTCGTCGGCGACGTCGACGGCGACGAGCTCGTGGACGGCCCCGCCCTCGTCTTTTTCGTCGTCGTCGCCGGAGTCCCGGCCGCTCGCCGCGGCCTGGGAGGCCCGCCTCGACGCGCGCGCGACCAGGGAGGCCCGCGCCGCGGCGTTCCTCTCGTTTCCGAGGCTCGCGGAGATGACGCTCTTCATGCGCGCCAGTGGGTGGCTGTACATGTTCTTCCCGATGAGGTACTCCGTCTTCTTGTGGTACTTGAAGATCGCCAGCACGAGGCAGATCGTCTGCACCGTGATGTTGATCATGACGAAGATCTCGATCCACGTGAGGTAGAACGCGTCGGGGAACTCGACGGTCTCGCGGAGCGCGAGCGTGCACAGCACCGTCGTGATGCCCAGCGCGACGCTGTCCGACGCGCTGTCCATCCAGAAGCCGAGGAAGCCCGCGAAGTTGAGCAGCGCGACGGGGAAGACGAGCTTGATGTAGTACGCGAAGGGCTTGTGGTCGAATTTGAAGATGAAGGGCTGGAGCGCGCGGCCGTAGGACGTGGCGCCCCGGGCCCCGATGGACGTGGAGAGCTTGTAGTTGTGGCCCTCGAAATCGACGTGCATCTCGTCGACGTCGAGCTCGAGCTGCGACACGGGCACGTCCGCGTGGATGCGCAGTTCGCACTGGTGGTCGTCGAAGGGGAACATCTCCAGCGCCGAGTCGCAGATGCTCGAGACGCGGAACGTGCGCGTCCAGCGCACCGTGCCGTCGCAGCTCACCTCGCAGGGCGTCGACCGGAGCTCCGCGACGTCGTAGGCGCCCACGAAGCTCAGCGACGGGTGCCAGATGTCGGCAGGGGGGTAGACCATGGACTCGTTGAGCTGCGACGGCGAGTACGAGAGGCGCGCGTCGACCCAGCTCAGCGAGAGGTCCGCGACGATCTCGAAGAAGAAGGCCTCCGTGGGCGTCACCTGCGTCACCGCGATGTTGTTCAGCTGCACGGTAGCCACGGTCGGGTAGGCCGGCGCGACGCTCGCCGAGTACGCGGGCAGGATCTCGTCCATGATCGACGTCGCCATGTCCGGCAGCTCGAGCTTCGGGCTGTACTTGATGAAGCGGTTCTCGAGGCGGCCTAAAATGGAGGACCGGGCCTTGACGAGCCGGACGAGGCGCTCGACGACGAAGAGCATGCCCTCGCCGGGGCTCTGGTAGATGACGTTCATGTTCGCGAAGACGTTGTCGCCGAGCGGCTCGTCGTCGTTCCAGAACGAGTTCGTCGACAGGTGGAGGCCGAAGGTGCCGCCCTCGCGGAAGTCCGCGGCGGCGAGCGTGGCGGCCTTGGCGTGCGTCGCGTCGTTCGTGAGGACGACGGAGATCTCCGGCCGCTCGAGGAAGTGGGCCGCGTAGAGCTCGTAGACGTCGTCCTGCGACCCGAAGACGATGCTCGGGTCGCCGCTGTGGTCGAAGGCGTAGAGCACGTGGCCCCGGTCGCCGCAGAAGGCCGCGACGCCGTCGGCGAAGGCCTTGGACCGCTCGTGGAGCGCCACCGTCGTCATCACGACGTGCCGCTTGTCCTCGGACTCGGTGATGCGGCAGAACTCGCGCGCCTGCGCGTAGGAGCCCTCGTAGTTGTTGGGGCCGACCATGAAGAGCCGCGCGTCGTAGGAGTGGTTGGCCGGGGGGGCGGGGCCGTAGTCGAGCTCCGGGTACATCATGACGCCGTTCGCGGCGCCGCCGACGAGGACCGCGGTGCTCCCGTTCTTCAGCGGCGCGGCCAAGCTCTGCATCCAGTCGCTGCGGATCCAGAACGGCACGAAGAGCACGTCCGCCGGGTCGTCGTGCTTCGCGAGCACCGCCGCGACGGCCGCCTTCCACTCCTCGAGCGTGTGGCCCACGCAGATCGTCTCCGCGGGCTCGACGGCGGCCTCGTAGAGCGCCGTGGCGCCCGCGCACCACGAGCCCGTGCCCTCGGCGCAGTCGATGCAGTGCGCGTTGGGCATCATGAGGTAGGCCGTCACGTTCGACGCGCTCAGGGTCGGGACGAAGTCGTCGTCGGCCTGCTGCTCCAGGCTCCCCCAGGAGAGGTCTTCGTCGGTCCGCGCGCGCCACAGCGACGCGAGGAGGAGCGCGCGACGCAGCCCCATGCCGCGGCGGAGGTACGAGCGATCGCCGCGACGACGCGGGGGGTGTCGAATCGAGTGTACCGTCACGCAACGTCGACTATTGTTCTTCCATCGATGTTTTTTTCCAGCGTAAGTGCACGTCTGGCGAGATCGACCTTGACACAATCAACACTTCAACTACGGGTACCACGTGGGTTCACACGGAGATGTACCAGCTTGCGCCTGCTCGCTCTGGTTTCCTCCGCTGGCCTCGCTCCCCTCCCCGGACGGGCGCCAGTCGAGCGCGCGTCCCCTTGGTCAGCGTAGAGCTCGTGCGCCTCTCGTCGCACTTCAGGACGCGGAGTAAACTTTGAAAAAAATCGCTTATGGCCGCTTCGCGAGGGGCATCGCGAGGGCGTCGGCCCACGCGTCGAGGACCCCGTCGCTGCCGAACCAGGGGTAGGTCTCGGGGAGCTTGATGGACTCGAGCGCCGTCGGCACGAAGTCCGCGTGGTGCGCGTCGACGACGATCGACGGGCAGCCGGCGAGCAGGGCCGTCTGCACGGGGATGAGGCCGTCGCCCTTGATCTGGAAGGGGTCGCCCGAGCCCGCCAGCACGGCGTAGGACGGCAGGGACACGAGGCTCTCCAGCAGCGGCGACCGGCGCTGCGCCTCCTCCCAGGGCCGCCGCTGGAAGAGGTCGAAGATCGTCGGCGTCCACGTCGCGTCCCCCGCGACGCACGTCACGACGGCGGGGTCCGGCGGGCAGTTGGCGTTGATGTAGGAGAGCAGGCCGCGCGTCTGGTCGATGGCCGAGAAGAAGCCCGACGGCGGCGGGTTGTGCGGCGTGCCCAGCGTCACGAGCCGCCGCACCTTGGCGCCGTTCCCGGGCCGGGCCGCGACGTAGGCCCGGAGCACCCAGCCGCCGATGCTGTGGCCCAGGAGGGCGACGTCCTCGCCGTCGCCGACGTCGGCGAAGGCCTCGTCGAGCGCCTCGAAGTAGAAGCGCAGCGTCGGCGCGGGCCGGAGCTCGCCGAGCCAGAACGCCTTCGTGAACACGGACGGCACGATCCTCAGCCAGTCGAAGCGCGACAGCGGCGCGACCTCCACCGCCGGGTGGCCGCGCTGCAGCAGGTCGGACACGAGCTTGTCGTAGTCCTTGGGCGTGCCGAACTGGGCCGGCGCGATGATGACGCGCGGGCGCGTGAGGGCGGTGGCGCTGTTTAGCAGTATTGCGAGCATTGCAGCGAGTCGCGGCATTGCTGCCGTGCTCTGATGCGTAGCGGCTGCGACCGACGCCACGACGCGACGAGACGAGCCTGATGTGGCAATAGACGATTTCAGATTGGCTTTCCAACAAATTGTATCACTAAGTTTACGTCGGTATTGATGCCGTGACACGAAGTCCGCGTCGGCTATGGACGAAAAAGTCGTCTTCACCAGCCCGTAGCTCGACGCAGGAACCGAGTCAAGAGACAACCCCCGCTGCAGCGAGGATCGGAAGCCTGTCGACGACACATTCCCCGCGGGATGTCACTCCCCAGGATTGCGTCGCGTCGCGCACGAGGCGCCGCAAGGGGTCGGGAAAGGGTTGCTCGCGTCCCCCGCACCCTTTTCCGTCGTGTTCGAGTTCACGGAGCGTCGGGGATCGTTCGTCTATGTAGTGTGGGAGTCCCCTTTGATGCGCTCGACCATAGAGGTCGAAGACTTTGACTTCCAAGGTCTCCGCGACACGTGCGCGCACCCCGCGCCGCGCAGCACCCGGATCGGGTTCAACCGTCGCGCGAGGCTGCCCCTGGATCCCGGCAGCCAATGGGACCCCGAGCACGAGCCGCGCGGCCCCAGAGCACCGGCGCGGGGGCTCTGCGCGGCCCGGGCGCGCCATCACGAACGACTCGGCGCCGAGCAGCCCGTCCCCCGGGCGGCCCGTCGCGCTTCCAAGCCGAAGAAACGCCGGAATATGTCACCGTACATGGCCACGGCCGTGCGCAGCCCGCCAGGGTGGGCGCGGGGGCCCAACTCGCCGACTTCGGTTTGAGTTCCAGGAACTCACGCTCTTGGCATTCGATTGCCAAGAGCGCGAGTTCGCGTAACTCGGCGCCACTGCGGGAGATACATTAATTTCGATACATAATTTTTGTTTGAAGCCTCGGACAGAAGAATCTGAAATCGTCTAATGCTCGGCGACGGCATCTCCGACTCGATCGACTCTCGTGCGCGGGCGCCGGAGAGCGGCTCCTCGCGCCCACCACAGCCGCCGTCGCGCGCCTGACACGCGCGCCGTCGCCACCATAAACCTGTTGTTGGGCGCGCTGCTCGCGTCGTCGTCGCTGCGGCGCGCGTCGTCGCTTCGAGGCGTCGTCGCGATGGCGCCGAAGCGCTCGTCGCGGCACTTCGCTGCCTCAAGCGACGCGGCCCCGAAGAAGGCCAAGGCCGCAGCCCCGAAGAAGGCCAAGGCCTCGGCACCGAAGAAGGACGCAACGCCAACGAAGGCCGCGGCGTCGCCAAAAAAGGCCGCGGCGTCGCCGAAAAAGGCCGCGGCGTCGCCGCGGGCGCCGTTCGAGCCGCTGGAGCCGCCGCCGGGCTGGCGGAGGACGTGGGACTGCGTCCGGGCGCTGCGCGCGGACCGCACGGCCGTCGTCGACTCCATGGGCTGCGAAAAGCTCGCGGACCCGGACGCGTCCGACGAGGACCGGCGGTACCACACGCTCGTGAGCCTGATGCTCTCGTCGCAGACCAAGGACACGGTCAACGCCGCGACGATGGCGAAGCTCGTCGCGCGGGGCCTCAGCGTGAGTTCCATCCTCGACGACGTGCCCGAGGACGAGTTCCACGAGATGATCAAAGGCGTCGGCTTCCACAACGTGAAGACGAAGACGATCCGCGCCGCGACGCTCAAGCTGAGGGAGGACCACGGCGGCGCGGTGCCGGGCACGATGGACGACCTGCTGGCGCTGCCCGGCGTCGGGCCGAAGATGGCGCTGCTGGTCCTGAAGTGCGCCTTCGGCGTCACCGCGGGCGTGTCCGTGGACACGCACGTGCACCGCATCTGCAACCAGCTCGGCTGGACCGGCGGCGCGCCGACGACGGACAAGGCCAACTTCGCGACGAAGGACCCGGAGAAGACGCGGCGCGCCGTGGAGTCGTGGATGCCGCGGGCCATCTGGGGCGACGTCAACTGGCTCCTCGTGGGCCTGGGCCAGGAGGTCCAGACGGAGAAGCCCAAGCTCCTCCGCAAGGCGCTCGCCGCGGACGACCCGGCCTTCGCCGTCGGCCTCCTCGCCGCGCTCGGCGTCGACGTCGCCCGGGTCGCGGCGAAGGAGGGCCTGGATCTGCCCGGGTAAGCTTGGCGCGGGCGGTTACGAGGGGGCGCGCGCGGCGGGTGTCGGCGGTTCGCGGCCTAGACCCGCTGGGGCACGGGGAGGGAGCCGCCGTCGTTGAGGGCGGCGGAGTCGACGGCCATGCCCATGGAGTGGAGGCCGTTGTCGACGTAGAGCGTCACGCCCGTGACCGCGCGGGACAGGTCCGAGAGGAGGAAGAAGGCGGACGCGCCGACGTCGTCGGCGTAGAGGTCCTTGTTGAGGGGCGAGTTGACCTTGGAGTAGTCGATGGCGAGGTCGATGAAGGACTTCTCGCCCTTGGTGGAGATGGCGCTCGCCGCGCGGCTCTTGAGCGGGCCCGCGGAGATCGTGTTCACGCGGACGCCGTACTTGCGGCCCGCCTCCCAGGCCAGGGTCCGCGTGTCGCTCTCGAGGGCCGCCTTGGCCGACGACATGCCGCCGCCGTAGCCCGGGATGACGTCCTCGGACGCGATGTACGTGAGCGACACGGCCGCGCCGCCCTCGTGCATGATCGGCGCGACGTGCTGCACGAGGCTCACGAAGGAGTAGGCGCTCGCGGAGTTGGCCGCGAGGTAGCCCTTGCGGGACGTCTCGAGGAGGGGCTTCGTGACCTCGGGGCCGTTCGCGAGCGAGTGCACGAGGATGTCGATCTTGCCGTAGTCCTTCGCGATGGACTCGGCGACCTCGCTGATGGTGAAGGACTCGAGGCCCGCGTAGCGCTTGTTCGCCTTGATGTCGTCGGGCACGTCGTCGGGCGTGTCGAAGACGGCGTCGAGCGGGTAGACCTTGGCGATGTCCATCATGCCGCCGTTCGACAGCTTCCGGTCGTCGTCGAGCTTGCCCTTGTCGAGGCTGCTCTTGAAGATGTTGAGCACGGGCGGCCAGGTGCCGACGATGATCGTCGCGCCGGCCTCGGCCAGGGCCTTGGCGATGGCCCAGCCGTAGCCCGTCGAGTCCGCGACACCGGCGACGAATGCGACCTTGCCGGTGAGGTCGCCCCCGATGCCCGCGGCGGGCGCCGCGGCGACCTTCGTCGGGGCGCGACCGGCGGGCGCCGCGACGAAGGCCGAGGCGGCGGAGAGGCAGAGGGCGAGGACGGCGAGCTTCATGGTGTGTGGGTCGCAGGTCGGTGCTCAAGTAGCAGTCCTCGGTCGGACGTAGGCGCCCGGGATCGAGGTCAACCCGGGATGATATTGCACGGCAGCTTGCTGTCGATCGCAACATCCTGGCTGGCCGGAAGATACGAAACACCGGATAGCTCGCGGTGCCTTTTTTGGATGCGCTTTGGACGATAGGGCTGCCCGGCGTCGCCTGATGGCGTTCCGAGAGGAGGCGCTGCCCCTGCGCGGCGGTCCGCCGGCGGCGCCCGCGGCGCCGCCGCAGCGACGGCGATGGCCGGCCTTGCTGGCCGCCGCCGGCCTCGGCGCGCTGGCGCTCGGCGGCGGCGTGCGACGAGCCACGTCTGAAACGCTGGCAACGACGAGCGGCCTGCGCCTGAGCGTGGCCAACGAGTACGGCGAGTGCACGACGGATCGCTACCCGTTCCTGCACGGCATCACGACCGCGGTCCTCGTCGAGCCCCACAAGTCGACGCGGCTCGCGGTCGCGCACCCGCAGCCCGGCGCGACGTACCGCTGGCACTTCCCCGACGCCGCGGCGGTGGAGGGAGAGACCGTCGCGACGGCCGTGCGGGCGACGTGGAAGCGCACGGGCGTCCACAAGCTCGTCGTGAGCGGGCCCGTGGACCGCGCCTTCGACGTCTACGT